TATGAACAAAAGAGCTTCTCCTACTTAGTTTTTTTCATGTAAGACGGGAAAAAGTCAAGCACTTGGATTTCTTCAAACTATTCTGCAACTTCTCTGGGCAACCAACATTATATGTTATTCTCAACTGAGATGCTAAATAAAGGCACAGATTTGGCTGCTTATTCTGTGCCTTTCACATCAAACTCATCACTGCTACTTTTAAATACCTTCTGCTTATGTGCTGAGTGCTGACAGTGGCTTGCTGGGATGTCTCAACCTTTCTGTAGTAAGTACTGACTGCAATGGAGTGTTCTGTATTGGGCACTTTCTGGAACTCACACTGGATTGTGTACACAAATGCACACATATACTTCCCCTCCATTCTGTTGGGTTTTGTTAAAGAAAGCAAGTTCAAAGAATGGCTTGTGCATTTCTGCATTTAAGAATTTTTGAGTGTCGTTGCATGAGTTTACTCAACAGGTTCTTTGGGGAGCAGTCAGTGATTGTCCCTTATACATCAGAGCTGTCACATATATGATTGCTGAGCGGGTACTGGAAAAAGATCATTGATTTTTGTGAATTGAAAAAAGAACAGAGAGAGCAGAGGAAAGCAATAATATAGTCTAAGGCATTTGGGAGTGATGGGGGATTGAAACTGATTTCTTCAATCATGACTTTCTGTAAATGTTCCAACTTTTTGCACTTAAAGGCAAGAGTGTCAAAGATTAAAAGGTTTTTTCCAGTTCTTAACAATCTTCCTTAACTTCACTAAGATATGCTTCTGTGAGACAAGCCAGCACTGGGTATAAAAATTAGGGTTACAGAAAAGGAGAAAGAAAATAAAGTTTCAGTTGTACTGACAAGAACTGAATGGAGGAAAGGGAGTTCCTACCTGAGGGAGAGATTGCTTTACTTAAAATCATAGAATTATTATGGTTGGAAAAGACCTCTAAAATCAGCAAATCCAGCTGTCCAGCCCTACTTGCTATCTGTAGGCTGGCAAGATTTTGTATGAAGGGAGCAGAAATAGTTGTGAACACACTTCTTTGACCAAAAAAACTATTTATGTGAAATACTGTCTTCTGTTTTTAACCTAAGTGAGACACATTTAGATCTCTGAAGGCATTGCTACAAAAGTGTTAAAACTTCACACTGCAAGAACTAAAAGGTTTGAGGACCTATGCATTTTTTCTGGTCTGAACCAGCACCTTGCCAGATTTTTTTGACTACTTTCAGTCAGAGAATCACAACAGAGAAGGCTACAGGAACCTGCTATGTGCAGTTTTTAAGGTGCAAAACTTGTTAGTCTGTGAACACCTAATAGGGGAAGAAGCTTGGAAAATTAATGTGAGACAGTAATATATCCACTTGTTTGTCACATCATTGCTATAAAATACAGCAGCATCCAGGAGAGGTCAATAGCAGTCTCCTGAAGCTGTGTGTTTAAATTGGTCCAGCTGGCTCTTTAGAGTCAAAATCTATTTTTACATCCTTCCTCTGTGTCAAGCTCTTTTAAGCTGCTCAAAAAAATGTTTTGTACCTTATGTTGCCATGACTTGGAAAAAAATGAAAGAGCACCCCATACCTTGCAGTTAGAGAGGTGAGAAATCTGCAGAGCACAGGTAGTAGCAACAGAGCTCAGTGCTCCTACAGGAGCAAGCTCAGTAGCAGTACTTCCCAGTTTTAAAGGAAGGCTTTGGAAAGGAAAAAAAAAAAGCATCATGGACTAAAAAAGTTTCGTTTCCTGTGGATTTAGTGTCGTTATTGACTGCAAGCTATGACTGAAGCTTTTCCCTTTCTAGGACATTTAAAGGTACTGCTTCACATGTAGATCCTCTGCTTCCTAATACAAGCAGCTTGCTTTTTGTTTTCCCCACTGTAGGAATCCTAATGGTTTTTGTCCTCCACCACCCACCAGTTTTTGACCTGGATTTCACATACCATAAGGACCAGTAAAGATTAACAGATATATACATTTTTGGGGACATAAAGAAACACATGTAATGTGATGACTTTATCAGGTTAAAAATACATTTTTCAATTTTCAAGATGATTTGTGATTATCTTTTGAGGCAAATGGGGTTGGTAGCACTGCTTATTTTATCCAAAAATCTTCTAAATACTATATTGTATATGATTTATACTATACTAAATATAGTATATTTACAGATAGCAAAAGTATATCTGGAATAAAACCCCTTGTTGCCAGTGATTTAAGCAGTCAAATAAAAAAGGTGTGCTGCTGCCTAGCTGAAGAAATGTTTTAGCATGCAGAAAGCAATGCTGCTTCCTCTGGGAGGTTTTAATCAGGCCTCTTGTAGTGATTGAGATGCAATACTCTAAAATGAGAAAAATTATTAACAAAATCAAAAAACTAGAGTGTCTTTCACACAAATATTCATCAGTGTATCTTATGTAATTACATAGTCGATAAATCAACATACTGTGTAAGTGCTTCATTCATGGTGTAAATATCTTAATGACTGAAAATCTTCACACATGAATAATTTATACCTGTATGATTCATTTTTCATATCCATGCTTTACTTCAACATGAAAAGCTAATTCTTCTCTGTCAGAGTGTGTACTTGATTATTGCCTTCTGGTTTCTCTTCCTTGTGCTTCCTTTCCACCGTTAGACACACTCCATTTCTTCTCTTCTGGTTCCTCTAATATAGTTATCTTATTTATTTATTCTGTCTGCCTTGGTTTGCATTCCCAGCTCATTTCAACAGGCACCTGGGAAATAACACTCAGGCATAAGCTGCTTGTGCTTATGCAGTTTCCCAAGTAACTAGAAAAAGAACCAGCATCTTGAAAGATTTACACATTCTCAACAGATACTTGCATTCAGTTTCCTCTCCTCAAGGCAACCATTGCAGAAGGAACTTGTGCAAGTTGGGTTTTGCCATTTTCTGGGTCAATGTGAGTTAAAACCTTTGTCAGCTGATGACAAACATTGTTTGAGTCTTCTTCCCGTATATATGCAGGTGTAAAACTTGTGTGTAGCTCCAGAAACCACTGGAATGTTCAAGATGAAAATAATTATTTCTCAGTGCAGGAATGGGAATAGAGAATACTTAAATTCTGCCCTGCTGCACATGCTTATTTGGCTGTTTTCAAGGCACTGTATATATCCTGCCTTAGTTAGACCTTTAACCAAGTCACCTAAGACAGGAATTTCATTGTGTTAAACTCCCTCTTTAGTTAGTAAGAGAAATACAGGCAGCTGCTGAGGGTGGTTCATCCAGTTTAAAGCTACTTAGTGCTTGAAGCTCCAGGCAGAAATGCTCCTGGGTGGACTCTGTTCTTCAGTTTCAGAATTTAAAGATCAGTTCAGGATTGTGGAGCAGCTTATTTTAGTAGTGCTTGTGAAGGTTGAGCCTTTAAAAATTCAGCCCTAGTTGTGTACAGAAATTGTTCATTCAGATTTAATGACCACTTTCAAAATTGCTGAATCGTACCTTCAAACCCTCAGATTTTGAACTTGAAAAAAAAAAAAAAGAAAACCAGCAGAAATATAAAAGTTATTTCAAGTTGTGGGTGGAAAAGGAGTTCTAGGATAATTAAATGACACTTTTCTGGTATTTTATGTTATTCCAGCCAACCTTTTTTCACTCCATTTCAATATGCAGTTTACCTAAATTATGCTCTAATGAGGAAGAGCAACTTCTCTCAGTGTTCATCACTCTCTCATTCAATTTCTTGTATCATTATATGGATTGTTAGTTTTGCATGCTAATACAGTTTCACTGTCTTTTCTGTGCCAGTATTACATTTTTTGACTTTTTTAGATTTAAGACTGAGTGGGATATCTTAAATCTGTCCTCTCCCCCAAACTTGGAAGCCCAGCTGCAGTTCTTATACAACTTCAATCTTAGCATCTTCTGAGACACATCACAATTGAATGTTGTCTTTGTATCCTCACAGTTGGTTCCAGTATGTTGTGAACACCAATCTCTCCTGTTTGCTGGCAGGACATTTGGTAACTTAAATCCAGCAGAAGTCTTCATCTATTCAGTTTTTTCTTATTCTGATTGTAAGCACCTCCAAAGACTTCTGATAGCACTTTGTTTGCCTCAGTCTATTTATATCTTTTAAAGGACATCTTCTCTTACTGCACTGAGATGAGTTATTGATCAATGGGTATTGGTTAGTAACAGTTCTCAGCCAGTCTCCAGAACATACTTCACCCTGATCACTGCCTGCTTTGTTGTGGCATTTAGGAAGAAGTCTGCTGTCTTTTTGCTTTGTTGTGTCTAGCACTTGTCCTCTTGGGTAGCTTCTCACCACAGTCATCGATCATGACTGTTGCTCCAACATACCTCCCTGTTTTCTGTATTCAGTGTTGGTCATTTACTATCTATGTCCTGTTGTAAAGCAGTATTTTATCCAGTGACAGGATGCTAAAAAAATCTTCTGAACCTCCTCACGTATATTTTGCTTTAACGTCTACTACTTCTAGGTGTCAAGCCTCCTGCATTTTCTCCGTTTTGTCCTTTCTTTTTCTGAAGGATTTCTTGTGGACCCTTTTTTTATCTTCTTCATTTGATTATTATAGCTGCTGTCTACAGACCTTCATCTTCTTTTGTGAAAATTAATTTAGCTTCCTTCTCTAGCCTATTCATTTACTCATTTTTTTTCAGACAATTTTCTACTTTTTTAATTAATTCTGTTTTTCCAGCATGTCTGTTTAAATTCCAGGTCATGTTTATCTTCAGTTGCTCGAGAATGATTCACTAACACATCCTGTTTCCCTCGTCTGGTCCGTCTCTGATTCTGACACACTCTGAGACTTTCAGACATCCTAGATTCACAAACGTCCTCTTGCTTTTATCATTTTCAGCATCAAGAGCTGATTATTGACACCTTAAATGATGTTATTCCAGTATTTCTTGAAGTGGCATGTTATCTGGTTAGAGAAATAGAATACCCATGGAGAATTTATGTGGGGGAAACGTGAAAATGGCATAAATACCACATTGGTATAATACTGATCTTTTGTTGTCTAATTTCAACAGATTCAGTAGCAACAGCTTCTGGGCCACTGCTAGTTGAAGTTGCCAAAACTCCTGGTGCTGCTCTTGGGGTTGCACTAACTACCTCGATGTGCTGCAACAAACAGGTCATTGTCATAGACAAAATCAAATCTGCAAGTATTGCAGACAGGTGAGTGTGACAGAGGACTGACACTGCAGGTCCATGCATCCATTTTACTTCTTTTTCTGTTTGGTCTGGTTTTAAAGGAACCCTTCCCTATTTTGAGAAAATCGACTGAACCGGGTCCTGTCAAGGTTGCATGTCTTAAAATTAGCACTTTGTCAGATGGCTATTCCAGTCTAAGACTTCCAGGATGCCACCTACTTTAGCTCATTCATGTAGTATTTGGTGACATAAGCCAGCCCCCATGTAATATGTGACTGGCTGCTTGCACTGTGCAGCACAGGAGTTTAGAGGTCTGCTTTGGCTGTTAAATGTAATGTTGTGGCAGAGATTAGTATTTAAAAAAAGAAACTGTAACCCACTGGAATTCTTGAAGTAAGCCCACCATATGGAACAGCTGTCCAGGAATGTAAATTTTGAGGCTTTGCAACCTTGAAGTGTTCTTTTAGAATATATTGCTCATTCTTGTGGCACAGTGAAATGGAATTCCTTATGTCTGGATTCTTCGACTGATATTTTAGAATACAAGTGAGGTATAAGGAAGACTGGCTTCTGTATTTCTAAACTGTTTTGCTGTAATATTTCCACTTTATTTAAACCTTTAAATAAAACCATTTAAACCATTAAAATTATAGCTAGATATTTTTCCCCAGTGGCCTGAACCTCTGGAACAGAGTTGTGGGATCTTTGCTGGGGTGTGTGTGTGTGTATGCGTATGTGTGTGTTTATACATATACAATATATTTCTATATTCATGTCTCTATCTAAATTTTTTTTAAATATTATGTTTCAGCAGCAAATTCCTCCTGCATGTCCCCAGTCACCCTACCTTGTAACTCCTCTTTGGCAACGGTGCTTTTGGTAGCACCCACTTGTAGCAGTGAGTCTACAGCTCCTCTGTGGGCTTTTCCCTACAGTAGAAACTTTGAGAGTGACGGCCATTGATCCAGGGGTGTTCTCCAGTTCAATGGTGCAGGATGCTTTAATTTTCTCCCTCTGTTTTCTCCCATTTCACAGGGGGTAACCAATTAAAGGAGCTGTCCACTTGACTGGTACGTCGGGATGCTGACTGCTGTGTTTGCATTTCTCAACTCATCCAGTAGCCAGTCTCGAGTGCAGCGAGATTTAGCAGATAGCCCCCTCCCCACCCCACTCCTAGAGTCACCATGCTAGCCCTGGTTTCATTATTTGTTTGACTACTGCATAATTTCATCATCATTTACAGCTTTTGTACTAATAAATGTTTGAACTATAACTCAAAAAATGATGAACTGGGTGCTTGTGTGAGGGATATGTGACCAAGTTATTCGAGTCTCCTTAAGCTCTCCTCATTTTATCCTGCTGCCATTCACACATATTTTTAGAGTCAGCTACCCCATTGCAGTTCTGTGAGTGATGTCTTGGCATATACTGTATTAACTGAATTGTTTTTAAGGTTTGTACTAATAGAGATAAAGTCTGACCAGTGACAGTGCCTACAAAACACAAATGTCTCTCGAAAAAAAAGAACACGTTCATAATTGTCATGACCAGTTTGAAGGCAGAAGAACTCATTGTGCAAGCAGAGAGCATACCTGATCATACCAAGTTTTTCCCCTTTTATATAGATGTGGTGCATTACATGTAGGAGACCATATTCTGTCCATTGATGGCACCAGCATGGAGTACTGTACGCTGGCGGAAGCAACACAGTTTTTGGCTAATGCAGCGGATAATGTCAAACTGGAGATCCTTCCCCACCACCAGACACGGCTAGCACTGAAAGGCCCAGAGCATGGTAAGAGGATCTGTAACACCAAATACCTCTTTCTCCTTCTTTCTTTTACTTTGCCCGCCCATGCTGAGTGGCCAAAGCTATCGCTGCAGTTACGTCTGTAAATGTTGTTTCAGCTCCCCAGGTTATGCTTCTGCAGTTTCTGAGCAGCTCTGTGTTTTCTCGGTCTTAATGAACCCTCTGAGATTCTTATGGCCAGAGAGGGAGATGTTTTGCTGACAAAACTTGCAAATGTACATAAAGACACCTGTTGATTCTACTGTTGCAATTGGGGGTGCTATGAGTTACATCAGTAAATTGATCTCTACATTGTTTCTTAAATTTAGAGTGGGGAAGTAGTACCACAGCCAACTTACTTTCAGCATATTGACTTGATGGTTATGGTCACTTCATTAATAACACCTGTTCTCCCCTAAAATACATAAACCCCTCCTGTATTTTCACTTGTTAATGGCATTATTATTTATTGCTGTCATCTTTTAAGGTGCTCCTGAGATTGCTTCATGGGTTCACTGTCAGTGCTTATGAAAACTGTTTGGAAACAGTTCCCTAGATTGCAGACCTTTTCACTGCAATACTTATTTCATACCAATGTGCTTGAGTAGAATGGCTTTCCGTTCTCAAATCAAATATATATAAAACGTCTTTTGAAGATGGAGGCTGCCTGCCTTGTCTTCTAACTAATAGTGAGAAAGTGACTAATTCACAGTAATCCATTAATTCAGTCTAAAATAGCACACGTTGATAGACATCAAAACAGTAACAAGGGTTATCAAATGCCCAGAGAACAGGTACATGTGTTGCAGCATGAATCAGTGGTAACATTTTTCTGAGCCTGTGGTACTGTGCTTCTGCCTTTTTTAGACCAAGACAAGATTTCTGAGGTCTCTTAATGTCAGTGATGGTAAATGCTTTGGGCCATCCATGCAACATCCAGGTTGTCCCTTGATAAGTGTTGTTCTGGACATTTTCTCAGAGTGGGAAATACTGAACTAGAGACAGAGGAGACATTAGTTTCTCCTAGACCAGGACGAACAAAAAGTAACCTTTGCAATTACATGTTTTCCCTTTACTCAGCTCTTCTGCTTTTCTACTTAAGCTGGTTAGAGCTACAAGGAGCAGAGAGGGTGGTACTGCACAAGCAGAACAAGGTGGAGACCAAATTTACGATTCTTCTCAGTTATGACACTACATTGCAAACAAATCTTTGTTTTGTTTTCTTTTGTTGTTTTTTTTTTTGAAGCAAGGATGTCATGCAATTAATTTCTGGATGGTTAAAGAATTTTAATAAAGACTTTTTGAAGACAAATGCTGGGGCCAGTGATTTGTGTAGATGATTGTATTACTTGAAGCAGTTGATATATTAACCAACATTTATAACAGAATGATGCTGTTAATGTTCTAGTAACCTGTGTAGATGCTTAGAAAAAGCAATGCTCTTGCTGTGCCAGAGTTAAGAACTGTCTGTTACAAAATCATATCAAGATGATCTGCAAAAGATGATATACAAAAGCATCTTTTGGGGAAAAGTATCCCTAAGGTAATAAAGTTGCTTTCTTCAGTAAGGCAGAATAACTAGGATGTTTACAGCCCTTTCCAGCCCCTCACCAGGTGATGCTACCACAATATCATGACCAATTCAAGATATAACAAGCTTTATAGAAGCAAGTACCCTCTTAGAAACATCTTTCATCAGGTGTGGTATGATCTAGAGGCTGCAGAGAGTGAAAATCTCCCTTGACGTGTCTGGAATAAGCTGAGTCATTAGGGCTGTATCTGCTGAGCTCAGTTATTGGTCTTGGGGGAATATGTTAGGAATTTAAAATGGGCAGGAAAGTCAGTATATAAAATAAACTGAAATTTTAGCCCTAAAATAAAGCAAAGAGTTCTATAATAGATAGGATTTTTTTCATGGTTTTTTTTCCTTTATACTGTGCTACTGACATTCATTTCTCTTGCTGCCCCATTAGTTTTATGTTTACTCTGCACAACCCTGTACTGGAATAGTTGAAATTACCACTAAATTACTGTGGTTACACACAAAAGGATTTTCTTTTACAGAACTTCTGTTGAATTGGGACTATCCTTCTACAAGCTGAGCAAACTGAATTTGTGTACTTTCCCACTTTGTAGGACATTTTTATCTCTACTCTTGGCATGAAAATAAAACATTAAGCATTAAGAAAAAGTCTCAAGGACTACCAGATAATTTCCTGCTGGAAGCAGTCTTTTTAATTAAACAAGGCTCACAGCAGCTTGAAAATAATGAAAATCCACCTGGCCACATTGTTCTTATCAGATTTTAATTTTTTCACCATAGTTAAAGTTAAGAAATCTCTCTCTCTGTGCACGTAATTGAGGAGACGGTTTCCTCTGAGAAGACACGCTAAGTCTCTAAGACACATAAGGCCCTATCAGGCTGCTTCTGATGTTTCTGGGACTTTCCTGGCTAACATGAGATTTTCCAAAGTCCCTGAGGGTGGTGGTGCCATTGGGTGAGGAACCCCAGGGGTGCAGACCCAGCCTGGTGCTGACATTGCACCCCCCCCTTACTTTTGATATCTGATATTGGGGCAAAAAAATAATTCTTTTGATTGAGCCCCTGTGCTCCCCTTTCCCTATCCCTTCTCTGGTGTGTACTCCATAGATCCACCTGTAGAGATAGGCATCACTTTTGAGTCAGAAGGTGATGTACAGTCAGGCAATTAGCAGATCAGTATTCATGTAATACGAAGTGAAACCAAAGGACAGCTTTCCTTCTGCCAGGGCACAGGGCTTGCTGTGGTGGCTGCCCTTTTCCCCTCTCTTTTTGTCTCATTACAAACACAAGGTGTAGGTCCAACCTAAATGCTCAAGATTTTGGGCTCCTGTTAAAGGCCAGCCCGGGGGCAGACAAGTCTGCAGCCATAGGTGTAGCAGGTAATACAGCTCATGAGACAAAGACAGCAAACTCAGTTTTATGGAAACAGATTTAGAAACAGGTTTGGATTAGATATTAGGAAGAAATTCTTCACTGTGAGGGTGGTGAGGCACTGGCACAGGTAGCCCAGAGAATTTGTGGCTGTCTCATCCCTGGAAGTGTTGAAGGCCAGGTTGGATGGGGCCCTGAGCCACCTGGTCTAATGAAAGGTGTCTCTTCCCATGGCAGAAGGGTTCAAATAAGATTGTTTTTAAGATCCCTCCAAACCCAAACCATTCCATGATTCTGTTGGTGACTCCCTTGGTCTTTTAAGACAAAAAATTCAGTGAATACTTCCCAGTTTGAACTGTGCTTTTATAGTTAAGCAAGGATACAGACATGCTGAATTTAATGATGCATGTACTCTATTTAACCAAGGGAGACTTCAATCCCTTTCCTTTAAGATGTGACAACTGAAATGCTTCCCATTCTCTTGGTAAATACAGGTCTTCACTTTCGGTACATCCCAGATTCCACATATGTAGAACCCACAATTAACTAATCAAATATGGTCTCATATTTCATCCAGTGAAGGATCATTTTAAAGTTTTTAAGAAATACAACCAAAAACATGAAGGAAAACATAAAATTACACATCCAGCTAATCAATTAGACCTCTTTTCTTTATTAACCAGGTTTCAGGATACAGTTTTCCTGCTGCTGGCATTGGGAAGTCATTTACTGCACAGAATAGCATAATGCCAGCAATAGATTGTGGCAAAATTAAAATGTCAATACAGTAAATTGAAATGGCAAGGAAACATTTCCATTCTAGGCAGTGCCATGTAAAGTATCTGGTTGGTCTTTCTAAAAAAGATGCGTGCAAATAGAGAGTTTTTAACCTTCAGTTAGTGGTCATATGTAGTACTTTAGTATTTTCTGAGAAAGTTTGCAGTCCTAGCCCCTAAGCCAGAGGGAGATTAGAAATTGAGTCAGTAATCATAATTTTTAAAACAAATACAAAAAAGAAAAAAAACTTAATTAGAAGCATTTTTTCTGAGAAAAAATATTATTTCTGCTCCTTGAGTTAGAACCCCCTGACAAGAAGGCAGGACCAGGTTTTTTATTATTTTATTTTATTTTATTTTCAATTTATTTTCTTTCTTTCACTTCTGGTTTTTGTTGGGTTTTGTTTTGTTTTGTTTGTGCAATTCAGTTACTTTTACCTCTTCTCTGGTCCTTTTGTTTTCTGATTTTCCATCATCCCTTCATGCGGGCAGTGAAGGTTGAAAGAAGCAACAGGCAACTTACCTGGGATTCGTGTGCCAACAGCCACAGCAGCCTCCTCACCTACCACCATTATAACACCTACCACCCTGACCATTGCAGGATGCCAGCCTTGAAATTCCAGAAAGCGCCTCCTCAAAAAAGCCTTCGTAATGTTCCACACTTTTTCTGCTGACATACTCTCCTCCTCTTCTTCTTCTTCTTCCTCCTCCTCCCTCCCTCCCTCCCTCCCTTCCTCTTTCACTCATACTTTTCCCATTTCAGGCTCTAAAACCTTTTCAGTTTTACGGATGCTACGCTTTTTCATAGCCATGCCAAGGTTATTTCTGACATTTTACACCTTTTTCTCTCTTTAAAAAAGCAGCCTTTGTAGACAGGAAAAGGCTTGAAAATTTCTGAATGAATTCTGAATGAAACGGCTCTTCTTCTGTGTATAAGTACACCATTGGATTGGAGAAGTGTATATAAAGCATGATTATTGAATGCAAAACATTGCTTACAAACCTTTGTCAGAAATTACCTACTACAAAAAGGCATTTCTAAAATCAGTGTGTCTAGATATATTGATATGCATTAGTTTGAGGATGTGTGTTGAATTTTTTTTTATGCTTTTTTAAAAATTAAAGATTTTTAATGCTTTGCTTAAAGTAAATGGTATACTATGAATATGCCTTTTGTATCTACATTATCTTTGTTAGCTTCCAGCAGGTGTTGTCATGAAATGCTGGCTTTACTTTTTCCTAGGATCACCTGTGTGGTTTAATGTCTTTATTACTGGAAATGCACAAACCATTCCTGTGCATCATACACAGCCTATACATACAATGTTTGATTCATTGATGAGTTACAGGCATGTGCCGCACTCTTCTGTGAAGACTGAATGCTGTATGCCAAGTGTTTGATTTCTTACAGCAGCTCTGGTGTCTTCATCCTTCTCTCCTACCTCCATGAGTGCATACAGCCTGAGTTCCCTGAACATGGGGACCTTACCTCGCAGCCTCTACTCCACCAGCCCACGGGGGACAATGATGAGGCGGAGGATGAAAAAGAAGGACTTCAAAAGCTCCTGTAGGTGGTAACAGCATTTGCTCAAAAATGTGCAGTGAATGAATGGGTGGAGGAGGGGGAAGATGCAGAAAAAAAGTCGCACAATACCTTAATTAATATACATATATTCTAGACAAAAGAGAGAGTTTCTGGTAGATGTAGGGAAACATAAGGGTAAAAATATTTGTCCAATGCTAAAATGAGATGTGTAGATGCTATGCAGCATAACTATCTCATCTGAAATTTATAAAAGAATGTTTTCTTCAGACAGTGCTGGAAGTGTTTCCTACACCGTTACTGAAGTGGTTTTCAAATTCCTTTTTCAACTCTTCCAGTGTCCATTAGGGAATATAATTCATAGCTGAATAGTCAAAAACAGGCTGCTGGTAAGCTCAACCAATTGTCACATTAGGGAAGGCAGAGTTTGCCACAGCACCTCCTAGGTAGTTCTAATGTTTACATCTGCTCCATGACCTGTAGAGCTGTTTTGGTGAGGGAGAGCAACAAGTTACAGTGAAGACTAAACAGCCTCATTTGACCACTCTCTGTGATTCTAAGCATGGATTGCCTAGGAGTCAGTCATTTCCCAAGCCAGAGTAGATCTATTCAGGCTGTTCCACTTTGCATATTGCTAAGCATTCAATGTGCTGGCAGGAGTGTGGCTGTCAGTGCACATTTTCCCAGGCTCCATGCGAGTGCCACTTCTCTTTTGGCTTGTCCATCTGTGTGTGATCCGCAGCAGCTCAGTTCCTCCAGAGCAGGGAGGTGAGACCTGCTCTGTAAATCATTTATTTGCTCTAGGTAACAATGCTCAGAAGTCCACTCTGGAAGAACTGAGCTGCTGCACGCTACAGCGCTGCTGCTGTGTTTTAAAGATTCCCCATGGTCATACTAAAACCAGAGCAAACCAGCAGCTTCTGAAGCCAGTCACTACAGAATTGTGAGAATACATTAGAGAGGAACTGAGGTTTTGCTTTCTTGCAGTTTTTGTTGCTTGCTTGTTCCTTATTTCTTCTGAAAAGCTCATATTTTTCATAACATTTGCCTGTAAGTGCATTTTTTATTTTTAATCCAATCAGCCATTTTTCACAGCTCATCTGTTGACATGCTAGCTTCTAATGCATTCTTTTGCGTCCCAGGGGGATCCTGTGTCTGTCGTGCTATGGTATCAGTAGAGGTCCAGCTCTTACATGTTCTCCTCTGCACATGAGAAACAGTAGTAATGTTATATTAGTAGTAATTGATTTGAATAGTAAAATCAATGCAAAAAATAGTTCATCAATTGTGCTGTGTTAAAACTGTCAAACAAAGGATGAAATCCTCAGAGCTAATCCTGTTATGGATCATGGACACAGCTGTAACTTGTGTTGGTAAATTTTTCAGATATTTTTCCTTCAAGGAAGCCTTGTCCATGTTATCTTGCAAAGACTCAAAAGAAGGCCAAGGATGTGGCATTTAAGTGGGACAGTCACATAAAGCATGCAGCCCACCTAAAACATTCTTCAAGTCAGAAGGCCCTGGGGATGACAAGCTCCTATGAGTAAACAAATCTCTAGATAGGAGAAGTTAGGACAAGGCTTAGTTGTGCAGCAGTTTATTACATATTCATATTGTGAAGTCTTGATATAGAACATTTCAAAATACGTGAAACTCACTCTGTCACTGTGTGGTCAGTGCCTCAGTACAGCCAGTGACTACCTCAACTACCCTGGACCAGAGCTGGCTTTGGAGGAATTGGCTGGCCAGCCAGACTCGTTTGCTCTTTTTGTGAGGTTGCTTATTAGCCCGTGCAGAGTTCCTTACTCAGTTTGTAGACTAAGACCCATACTTGTGACAGCACTAACAGCCAACTTAAGAGGCCCACACTACTCTGAATATCCTGCAACACACCAGAGTAGAGAATGTCCCGTACCTTTCCACTATCCATCAACAAGACTTGGAAAACCTCTCCCTTTGTAGGAGACTCATGAGAACCAGGTAGATTGACTGCTGTGCTTTTCATGGGAAAAAGAGTGGCACACTCTTAATTTTAGTGGGATTCTTTTTCTTTAATCCAGTTGGATCATTTGAGAGTTTTATTAAGACAAATTTTAATAAATCTTTTAGAATGTCACCTGGGAACAAAAATATGTAGGTTGCTATAAAGTTTATATTGTCAATTATTTAAGAATACTTGCACAACATAATGTGATCATGGCATAATTCATGACGATGAAGTGTGATGGCACGAGGGGTTACAAGACTTTTATGGTCATGATTTAACAATCATTGTATTAGTTAAGCAGACCATTCTAAATATGTGGCTGTAAAAACTGAGGGCATGCCCTGCTGCCACAAGCTTTATTTATGCCACTTGTGTTCAGTTTTTATTCTTCCTCTGCTTTTGTTTCTTTGTTTAAGGTGTGGGATTTGTTGTGGAAACACATAGATTATTATTTCATAAAAGTTTAAATCCTGAATATTTTGTAATAGGTCCCTATTAGTAGTTGGAAGCGAGTCATAATTTATGCCGATTTACTTTATTAGGGTTGCATATCTGGTAGAAATTGGAAAGGGATTTAGACATGCATGGGTGCTCTTTTCTCAACAGCTATCAGGAGGAATTGCAAACATTTTTCAATTTCTCGTGGGCCAGAGTGGGAGACTGGAGTCATAATAACCCATATATGCACCTTGAAACAAGTCCTGTTCTGCTTCTCATATAACTGCAGACACAAAAGTAACAAATACATAACCTTCAAATTCAAGATTATTATTTACATAACTGCAGAGCTTATAGCAATCCAGCCCCCAGGAATGTTGCTAAGAGTTAGGTGAGAACTATACAAGTATGCTGGAATGTACTCCTAGCAATAGCAACCAGTGTTCACTGGAACTGCAAACACATCCATGTCCCCTTTTTAAATCAACAGCATTGCTCCCTGGCCTGTAAAAATTATAATCCATCAAGGAACCAAAAAATGTCAGTGTTTCTTCCTACAGTTACTCTTGAGTTACAAATCCCAGCATGCTCTAAGTCATGGGTTTGGGTACCTGTGACATTTTACAGAGTCATAGGAAATAGGTATTGTTACATGATTAGGAAAGGATATTTTCATCTCTGGGTTTCTTTTTTTGTTTCTGTTTCTCTTCGATTTTCTTTTGGAGTGGAAGAAGTTCCTTATATGTCATACTTATGTGTCAGCATCATCAAAATGTTTATCAGAGTGAGTTTTAAATTCCACAGATAGTGACTTAATTTCCCAATTTGAATTAAAATTTTACTGTCCTAAAAGTTGAAATAAATTTTATGAGACATTTAGGTTCCTGATAGGAAGTTATAAAAAGAGTAAGAAGGTTACAGAGTCAGCTAGATACCTGCTGCATGGGAGGAATAGAGACATAAGTGATGGGAAATAAAGATGAATAACAAGTAATTGTTATAGGACCTTTAAGAAAGGGAAAATGGAACTTTTCTGAGACTGGATGCCCTAAATTAAGATGTTTCTAGAAGGTGTCTTAGGTATTATATTGATTTATTTGGCTTTGTTATATTTTAACCTGTGCAGCAGCAAGGGCTGGAGAAACCTATTTCTCACATGCAGTAAATCCTAAAGCTGATGGAAGTTTCTAAGAACAGTTTTTTAGTATTTGCATTTGTGTATAAGCATATCTTGCTGAATGTAGATAAAAAAAACAGTAAGAAGGAAGCTATTGAGTATCTGCAATAATACACAATTCTTACAAAGGAAACTTGAAACAAGATGTGAGGAAGAATTCACAGTAATTTGGAAAAGACCGTTTTCGAGTGACAGAAACTTGTGAGGTTTTTGGCAAGTGAAAATTTTGCAAAGAACTGTCATTGCCAACTGTGATACATCAATCAGACTTATACTAACTGATACAGAGCACAAGTCTGATGCTTGCAGTCCCATAGTGTGAGAAAATGCTTACATAACCTCTGACATCTTTGTACAGTTGTGATAATATTATCTATAATGTCAAAAATTTTTCCTGAATCCAAGAGAAATAAAAATGCACAGGTAAACTATCCCTCAAATAAACCACAAATTTTTACCTAATTCTTAGCAGCTGCTGCAGGCAGAAAAGGATTTTGAAGGAAATTAGAGGTGGAGAGGTAATGACACAGATTGATAACACAAAACCATTCCAAATCCTTGGCATTGGAGGGATTATCATTACTGAACAGGAATTAAAAAACTCCAGCCTTCTGTGTATGACATAATGAAAGGCACTAGTTTGTCACTGGGGAAATTCAAACAATAATACAATAGACATTTAGATAGAGATCAAGGAAGCAAAAGTGCAGTCTCATCCTTTCATAGGTAATAGTGCTGATTCTCAGTGCTGTTTTTGTCTTGATTTGTTCAGTACTGCAGCCTTTCAGAGAAAGTGTGAGTAAAGCAGGAGAACCAGAAGTAGCTGCCTGAGATTCTCATTAAAGGTCTCACAGTGGCTTTGAGAGACCCTACAGAACTTCTTTTCTCACAATCCCTTGAGATATACTGGTTGCCACAACAGAGTGGTTTGTTCAGCTTCCTTACATTACCCAGTAAGCCTAACAAATTGCTGACTTACAGTAAACATGTACAAGAAGAAGGCATTCTTACTTCTTGCAAGCAAGACTGGTCCATGTGGTTGGTTGCTAACAACGATTGCTGTGAGATGTTCAAAAGAGGAATCTGCCTGAATAACAGCTGGGCTTGTTCCTCCAGTTGCCTTAGTTCCTGTTAAAGTCCTGCTTATCCTTGCCTCAAATCTAATGCAAACAGAATTCAAGGTTGTCCTGAGATTTTGGAGTGGGGATATCAAACACATTTATTTTACTCAGAAAAAGAACTATCTTTTTGCATTCCAGCATACAACCAGCTGTTTTCTATTAGCTTATATGTCATAACTGTTTATACATAATTTATAAACTTTAGCCTCAATTGACTTTAAAAGAGACATTTGATTGACTAGATTTATTGTAAAGATCAATTTTCTCAAAAAGCAATGGAACCTGTGCTGTGTATGAATGTCTTTCCTCCTGGTCTGCTCTGTTTTATAGTGTCTTTAGCCTCTAGCACTGTTGGTTTGGCTGGGCAGGTCGTGCACACAGAAACCACAGAAGTAGTGCTGACAGCTGACCCCATAGTAGGGTTTGGGATTCAGCTCCAGGGTAGTGTGTTCGCTACCGAGACCTTGTCTTCTCCACCTCTCATTTCCTATATTGAGGCTGACAGTCCTGCGGAAAGGTGAGGCTCTTTAATTGACTGCTAAATACATCTGGTGGGTGTTCCTTGGGTGCTTTGGGCTTTTTACTTCTTTCAGTTTGTGATGAATTGCTGGGCCTTGCTCAATGGAGTGGGGCAAGTAATACACTTTCTCTTCTGACAGTGGTGTTTCATGCACTTGATCAGCTATGAAAGAATGACAAGCACCAGTGTTCTGGCCATACACAGTCCTCCAGAAGGAGACTGGAAGCTATATTCATGCAAAACAAACAAAAAATAAATCAGAAAAATCCATGAAGTCAAAATACTGATAATTTAACATGCCAGGGGGAAAGTTATATCCATCTCTGTTCAGTTTTAAGGTATCTTAGGGAATTCCAGATTTTTGACTTAATAATTTTTTTAATTACATTTTTATGCTTATATATGTATTTAATCATGTTACGAGAATGATAGCAGTTGCACAGACAAGCACCAGCTGCCATTTCACCTGCAGCCCAGGGTTAGAGGCAGAGATGATGTCCAAGGATGGGGTTGAAGCATGAAGACCTCTCCCCAGCACCTAGAGGGCACAACCCATACTGGGAGTTCTTGAGAGTGTCATGCTGCAGAGGGGCAGCAGCTTCTGTGCCTGGGCAGATTGATGAGCTGCCACAATTATCCTTCAAGGTCTGGTTGAATGTTTTTGATCAGATGGCTTATATCAGAAACTGTGTGGCCAGCCAGACCAGGGCAGTGATCGTGTCCCTGTGCTCGGCACCGGTCAGGCTGCACCTCAAGTCCTGTGCTCACTTCTGGGCCCCTCTGTATGAAAGACATTGAGGTGCCAGAGTGTGTCCAGAGAAGGGCAGTGGAGCTGGTGAAGGGGCTGGAGAACAACTCTAACAAGGAGCAGCTGAGGAGCTGGGGATGTTTAATCTGGAGGAAAGGAGGCTCGAGGGGAACCTTATAGCTCCCCACAACTATCTGAAAACAGGATGTAGCCAGGTGGGGATAGGTCTCTTCTCCCTGGTAACATGCAACAGGACAAGAGGAAATGGCCTTAAGTTGTGCCAGGGGAGGTTTAGATTGGATATTAGGAAACTTATAAAAGACATGTAAATATGGCAATTCCACACAGAAAGGGTGGACTTTTCAGTGCTGGGTTAATGGTAGGGCTCAGTGATCTTAAAGCATTTTCCCAACCTAAATGATTCCGTGATTCTGTGATTCTGCTGGTTCCGGTAACATGCACATCCGATGATTGTTTTGTATCGTTTTGTACCAAGGTGTGGGGTGCTGCAAATTGGAGACAGAATAGTGTCAATAAATGGTATCCCAACAGAAGACAGCACATTTGATGAGGCCAATCAACTGCTCAGAGACTCCTCTATCACCAACAAGGTCACTTTGGAAATAGAATTTGATGTTGCAGGTATGAATGTCCTGTTATTCTGTCTTGCAAGAAAAGCAAAGGAATAAATCCCAAGTACATTGTAAGTGTTAGGCATCTGAGGTAGAGGTTTTCTTCTCACATCTACACCATTAAGTTTTCAAGTGACTTATTTGAAACATGTTTCATTTCATTTCACACAGCCCTGCAGTCTACTTCAGAAAGCAAATAGAAATGACAGTCCTGTAGTAAGATCTGGTGACTGTGTCTCCTCTGAGTTATTTCCAGACATTTTTCTGGCCTCAGATAGAAATGTTTTGCTAAACAGAGACAAAACCTCTACAGGCCAAATAATGAAATATTTTGCAAGACAGAAAAGTATTAAAAAGTATGGATAAACAAAAAAACTCTTGAGGTGTTTACGGTATCGCTAAATAAAATAGTAGAAACTGAATTAATAGAGGCCAGATGAATAATTGTTAATTTTTCAGTTATTATTACTAATGGCATTCCTTTATTCTGACATGTGTTTAAGCATAAAGAATATACCCATGAAATCACAAACTGTGCATATCAAACAAATACACATTATGTATGTACACCACTGGATTCCTTTTCTTCCCACTTGATGTTAAACCCATGGCAATTACCTTAGCAGACAGTTAAAAATAAGTGTTAGTCCTGAAGCAACAAAGGTCAGAAGTCCTTACAACTCAGTCTCCTGTCCTTTTAATTAAAAGCTGTCTGCCAGCAGTAAAATTTTCATTTGTGCTCACAGAACTTGCATATGAGCTAAAAACCTGCAGTCTCAGCTGGCTGCTGGCCCATGCAATCTCCACAAATTCAGTTAAACCTTAAAAAAATTGAGTTACCGTGAAATTACCAGTAGAGTTATAAATCATGCCTTCTTCATTTTTGCACCCGTGTTTCATCCCTGCCTTATGACTCTGATGTGATTTCATCAATTTACATGTATAGTTCCATGCTCATGGAACTGCTGTGCCTTATAAATTATCTAACATTTTAAATATTTTTTTATAGAATCAGTTATACCAAGCAGTGGAACATTTCATGTAAAACTACCAAAGAAGCATAATGTGGAACTTGGCATCACCATAAGTTGTAAGTAAAAGTGCTTAATTTTCAGACCACATTTATGGGATAATCTGTAGATATTAGTAGATCTTGTAGTTACAGACTCAGGGTGTTTTTGGTATGAACTTCTTTTTCCTTTTTCTAGCTTCTTTAATTCCTTTTTCTCTTTTGAAATCCTCTTCTGTAACATATTTATACTCTCCTTCAAGTAGTTAACAAAGCCAGAAGTTTGCCAAATCAAATGTTTCACTTATTCCTTCATGCATGGGACATATTTAATTCCTAATAAAATTATTTATTTAAAACAAAAGAAATAAATCAGCAGAAATAGGTCCATGCAAAAGTATTTCCATAGTTGTGAAGTTTAAAGCAGAGTTTGTCATGGTTTCTCACAGACTCTTGAACAGAACCCCACTGAGCACAGGACATGAGGCTCCACATGTGTAGGGTTATTTTCTCCTGCAGAACCCAGATACATCCTCAGTCCCTAGAACATGTGGACAGTCCTGAATGTGTGGGTGACAGCAAAGTCCCCTTTCACTAGGGATTGCAGAGATTGCTGAAGAAGGTCACAAGGACCTGCATCAGTCTGTTTCTCAAAAACTAGTTGTTGCTGTGGTTTTAAATTAAAAGTGTTTCTATACTTTGTGAGGAGACATTAACACAATGTGTTACTGGATTTTGATCAGGTAAACTCTGGCATAATAGTTCAGCTCTTGAGGGAAGGAAAAACAATCCATATCAAAGTTAATGGGCTTGACACTGCAGAATCTGGTGTCATCAGAATTAACATTCTTTTATGGCTGCAGCCTTTCTTAGGCTATTAGTCTTTCTTTGGAGTTATTCATGTCTCTTGGGGGAAGATTGTGCTTTGACTTGCATTCTCAAAGCTTTTACCAGCACAGTGGAATATGGTTAATCAAAGGTACAGCAGGGATCTCAGTGCTAAGGATTACATCTGAGAAACAAATGGGAGACCCTGCAGGTCTGTTTGCTTGTGTTGCCCACTTGAATGAGTAACTGTTAGACTCTGTAAGATGTGATGTGATGCTTGAAGCGAAATCATGCATGTACATGTATCTGTGCAAATGAAAATTGAGAAAGGAGAAAACATAGAACGAGGCTGTTCTATGTAAATGTTATTCTTAGGATTGATAAAGGTTTGTAAGGTTACTGAAAAAATATAATCTTCCTAGTAATTTGACTTGTGTTGTTTTTTAGAATGCAGAAATCTGCTTTTTTTTGTCTGTAGGAATAAGCTTTTAATGGAAAGCTAATATTCTTGAAATTGAGTATTTTGCACTCCTCTTCCAAACTTTGCATGCCTTACTGATCTGGAATTTCATTCAAAAAATTAGTGCTTTATAAAATCAGTGCCCTATATAATCAGAGTAACATGTGGTAGGTCTTAGCTCTGCTCTTGTGAATATACAACAGTAACTTTAATATTTAAATTAAATTATCTGTTATGTACAATAATCTCTTTAACAATATTCAATGCATATGAAATTTATCTAGGATTAATTATTTACATGGTTTTAAAGGATTTATATTAATAACTGGTAGAAGTCTTGAATTGCTGCATTTCATGCTTGTTTTTCAGTGTTTTGCTCTGTTTTACCTAATTAACTCCTAAAAAAGGCAGTATGATTTGAAGAATGTAAGCATTTTATATTCATTTTGTGAAATTTCTGTCAGGATACTTTAGCACATTAGCATGCCATTTATTACTGATATTTTCAGAAAGCTGTGTTATTTATTTTAAATAACAAATACTAATTGAAAATTGGCAGAGTTGGTATGTCTTAAGTAAGCAGGGGGATGGAGGTGATCAGATTTATTCACTTGTGGGCTTGATCTCTTAAAAGTGATAGAGACCTGCTTCATCCTCTTACAGAAAAACACCTTTTTTATCTTCCATATCCCCCATTTAGCTTGGGATTTATATGAGAAAGGCAGGAAATTACCTAATCTGACAGACAAGACAGATATTTTTTGTCAGATGGGAAACACAACTTCACTTTGGGCTGGCATGTAAACATATCTCTATTTTTAAGTCCAGGAGTTCTTCTAGGTCAGCTGTTAGGAGTCAGAGATCCTAGGAGAGGAATTTATTTCTCTTTCTTGGAATTGTTTTCTTTGGTAATGAACACCAAGAGTGCTTGCATGGAGTTACAACCAGGTGATGTATTGAAGGCATGTCTGAGGTGACACGCAGCACTAAAGACAATTAAGCTAATTCATGGTCTTTGAAACACAAGACTTGTAATAGGAGAAGAGACTTTCCTTAGTTTCAAATTTCTTAATGCAAGAAAAAAACCCAGAAAAAAATTAAAAATCCCCTTAGCATAACTCCTTAAATGCAGGACAGAAGAAAGTTTCATGAGCATCGTTGTTAACATTGAGCCAGGGCTCTGAGTTTTGAATAGCTCATGTCAGTTACTGGTCTTGCCCACTGCTGCCTTCATACACACATTGCAGTCCTATCATTCGTCCCTTATCTCTGCTATATCTGTCTAATTTTACCAATGACAGATACTTACACTCAATAAAGAGCTTTATTTCATATTTTGCAAATACACATGTCTATATATTTAATGCTTCATATATTACTAGTTTCACACCCAGTTACCTGATTGCAACAAGCAGAAAGTCTCAGTTCTTAAAATTATATCATCCAAATAAAGCACGGGAATGTTCCTGTGCACGTGATTATGCTTTTATGACAGAATCATTCCCTAGAAGAAGGAACACTTACAAGCAGTGCTAGTAGTACTCAAAGCTGTTTCTATTTATTTGCCATTGCCATTGATTTTAGACCATGTAATGAATATAGATTTTTCTTTTTAAAGACAAAAGCCTTTTTTAAAAGGTTTTGAGGCAACTGGCTACTTTATCATAGACTAATTATTTTTTTGTCAAGTACATTGAATGGTGTCCAGTAAAATGGCTTACTAGTGGATTCTGGTAATTGTAGTTAATACCATTTTTATTTTCCTTTCCTTTTCTTTTTTTTTTTTTCATTTTCCTTTCCTTTTCTTTTTTTCTCTCTTATGTAAGATTCTGATATCCTTACTGGCAATGAACTGCAGCACCTTGCTTCATAAATAATCTCTCTGAAGCTAGTGGGACTGCTCAAGGAATAAGAAGCTGCAAAGCTGGTAAGAATATCAGAATCTCACCCAAGCTATCATCAGTTTCTCTGAGTCATTTCGACTAGCAGCTATAATGTACTCTGCTTTATTGTTTTTGTATTTCATCAGAAACAAGCTTTGTAAATATCTACAGATACATTGACTATGAGAATTTATTTTCTAAAGCATGTTTCTGTATATTTTGTGATTTCACCTGGCAAGATCTACTTAATTTTGAAATATTACAAGCAATTCTTTTCAAGACAAAAGAATACCAACAGATTTCTCAACTGCTCCACATGAACCAATACTTAAGGAACAAAAGAGCTGCATCAGTGTAATTTTAAAAAGCTCCTTCATCTATTTATTAATCACACTATTCTTAAAAATATCTTCTAGCCATAAACCAGCATTGTGGATAAATGGGCTGACTTGGTATAAAAAGTATTCTTCCATCACATGAGCATTTTCCTTTGCTTGTTCAGTTTGTTCAGAGTTTGATCAAACTCCAAAGTTTGAAGCCAGGCTGAGAGTGAATTTTGTCTGGGTGGTGGGTGAGTTGTCCACTCCAAAATCTGTTGAAGTCACTTTGTGGGGGGGTTTTGTTTGAGTTAGCAGTTTAATAAGAAAGGAGCCTTGTTTGAGGGGTTTTTAAATGTAATGGAACAGCTGATACACAGAACTGACAACACTTTATTGAACTTACTTTCAAGTAGCTGGGAAAGTTTAGTAGAATAGGGTAGAGACCTGGGATGGAGACCTAGGATCAGTAATTTAAAGAGAGAGAACAAACAATTTGTTTTAGAGCAGCCTTTTAACTGCAACACTAGATTTAGTACCTGCACAACTTTATGCATTCTTCAGTCCACTTGTAGTTGTTCATACAAACTCTAAGGTCTCTACAAAAGCTGAACATTGGGTAGAATAACAGCTGGAGCAGGGAGGAGAAAAGATGAGATCTTCATTGGATGAGCAGAATGGGACAAGGACAAGAAACAAGTGTAAAGCTGTAACAGAGGCCGCAGATGAGGGGAGAGACTGAGCTGTGATCAGGATTAGGGGCAGCTAGGACTTGAACAAGTAGACTGGACATGAGTGAGTGGTAAGGTGCTTCGTTTTTAGCAGCCTCTTAAAACCAGAAATAATTCTGAAGTGGAGACTTGAAGCCATACAGTGTCACTTCAAGCTTGCATTAATCGATGTGGATATATTAACTGGTCAAATACTGCTTTCCCACTGGAACTCTGGTTTCTCTGCTCTCTGGGGAGAGATGAAACAGTGGTGTGTAACAAAGGGGAGGGAGGCTGCATAATGAATGAGATGGAGGATTGCAGAAAGACAAAGGAGGCGATCTCATGGTCAAGGTGGTTTAATGCTACCCTGGAAAATTAGGGTGGTTTTTCTTTTCTCTGCAAAAGACTCATGCTGAGACAAGTCATTCTGGGAGTGGGGGTGGAGATTTTCCATAAGTGGCTGCTTGATTTTGAGCTGAAACATTGAGATCCTGGGGTTGCACTCACAGAAATTCTACTCATCTGCAGCTGTTGCTGAAAATGCCAGTAGTTGTATTTCAGACATAGAAGCTGTTGCATTCTACAAACTATGGTGAGATATAAAGGCAGGGATATCTCAAATTGCTCACTGAAAAATGTCATACTTTGAGTTAAATTTTCCTATGTTTCCTTTCCTTATCCGTAAAATCAGAATAATAGTACTGAATCTTCTTGCTGGAGACAGCATCTGTTCACCAGTTTTTGGGTGGCAATCTTAGGCAATGTAATCTTAGGTAATGTGCAAAAAGGTACAAAAGTTCAGGAGGAAATGAATGATTTTATTTCTGCAGCACAACTTGAATAATTTGTAGGAAGTATGCCATGAGCATCAAACAATAACAAAATGAAGTGTGGTGCATCTGCTTCTCAGCATGGGGGGATTAATTTCACACAGGGCTGTGTTTGGTGCCTACAAAAAGGCTTTCATTCTCCAGACCAAATAATAGCCCAGGAGAACTCATAAAATACTGCTGGTTCACACTTCCTCAGTTTGAAACTGTGATACCTTTGTGTGCAGCACTATACTCTTTGCATCCACATGTACTTTCTGGCTCTGCTCTTTGAGCTGTGCTCTTTCCCTCATTTTGGTTCCTCCTCTCTTCTTTTTACAACAATAATGGGCACTTTTCATAAATTCTGGAAATTTTGTAAGACAGTTTCATAAAAAGTATTTCAAGACTCAAACCCTGGTCTGCAGTGGGTATCATATAACCTCAGAGTAAGGCAACCCAGAGGGTGAAAACATAGAACTAAAAAATCACCGAAGTGATAGTCTAAAATTTTAACAAGATACTAGTTGGTAAAACAAATCCAAAGGATTCAAGTAAATTATGGAATTGTAATATATTTGACCTATGACATGAAAGTATGACGAACAAGCTATGAAAATTACATCTCTTATAAAATTTAATTGCTGTTCTCTAAATTGCAACATAATAATTTCCTGAGAGCATGCTGTTTTAGAAAAAATTCTAAAAATTCTTCAAAGTCCTTGTATGTCCATCTTCTGGACTTTTGAGACATTGCATTTGAAATATGGCTCTTCTTGAGTTCTTGAGCAGTTCCTTTGGATATTCGAAGGCTGTCTCAGCCAGGGCAGCTAAGGTTAACAAGACCTGTTAGCATACTGTGTTGGAAATGTCATTATTAATTTATCATGTGGTTGCTGTAGGTGAAGATCTGTCATTTTGCATCAAAGAGAAGATTCATGAGCTGCTAAAGTAACTGACATCAGGATTTTGTAGGTGATCCTCCAATATGGGCAGCTTTTTGGGTGATTGTCAGTTCAGGCTTTGGAGCCTAATGGAAACCTTCTGTGAAAGAATGCAGAGGGCTCAGTACACAGTGCAGAAATGGTGTGGGGCAGTTGAGGAACCATAACTGTGCAAAACTAATTAGTGCTTTCAGGAGGGCTGAGAGCATTATACCACATGGCAGTGTTTTAATATCAGCACACTGTTTGTTAGCAGTCCCAAACGCCAGTCTGTGTTCACCATGTGGAGCACCTCCTGGACAGAGCATCTGTAGGTGATACTCTTCCCAAAGGTAGACAGCATGTGCTACACAGTTGTCTTAACAATGTGTCTTCATCACCCTCAAGTTCTAAGCTGACTGCTTGCCCTATCAGATCTTCAGTCTTCCATCAGCAAATGGATGAACCCTCCAAAACAATGGAGCTACTTCAAGAAACAGTCCTTCCTCTGGTATATTTTACTGCTTCCTAGGCAGCTAAAGGTCAAGCAAAATTGCAGACCGAATTTCCTGGCCAAGGGAAACTTATCAAATAGTTTTGCACAAGTTCGTAAAGAGTTGCAGTGCCTGGTGTTGAAGAGCAGAGCATCTTTTTAACCATGAGGGACAGATAGAAAAATTGACCATTAATGTCAGATTCTTCCAAAAAGAGATATGTGTGCGAGGAGAGGAGTGGTGGGAGTTTTACTAAACTGACTGGAATTGCAGTGCTCCTAGTAGGTATCCCCAGTACAAAGTTGGGAGAAGCTCACTACTCTTAAGGTCCAGCAGCAGTACAAGGGGGCAAGGTTACTCATCGAAAGAGGAGTTTCAGTGAAGCAAACATCAGTGTGATGTAAGCTACACCTGTGCAAACATGGCAATAGTGTATCAGCCCAATGGGCTGTGTGGCCTCTGTCCACAGCATCTCCTTTATTGGGAAGTGGATTCCTCCTTCCCACCCAGGACACATTGCCTTCATACCTCTGTCTTAAGCACTGGATGGGACAGAGATTGGTGGAAAGGATGTGGACTAGCCCGCTCTAGATACATGGCCAGAGCAGCTCTGTTGGTCAGGAATATAGTACAACAGGATTTATTCTGGCAAAAGATCATCAGTAGTAGTCACATTGGAAGATTGTAAGACAGAAAGTCTTCCTTATGTGTTACAGCTACTCAGCATTTTATGATAAATCACTGGAGCTCTACTGTGGTGTCTTCCCATGGCTCAGTCCTGATCTAACCCAGAAATCAAACATATCAGGCTAAGTTCATTTTGTACCAGTCACTTCAATTCTGAAATGTTCTCATTTTTGAGGGGTGTCCAGTCTTGCCAATATGCTGCTGCTGTTTGTTTGTACCTGAAGTTCACGTAATTTAGGGGTGGGGGAGAAATATAACACAAGTAAAGAATGTGTATGAAATATTGATTTATGGTCAAAACTAGTCCATCTGCGTATCTGGAAACAAAACTAAATATCCGTATATATTCTTTATTACAGCTCCATCAAGTAGAAAACCAGGGGACCCTCTGGTTATTTCTGATATCAAGAAAGGAAGTGTTGCTCACAGGTAAGACACTAGAGCTCCCAATAAAAATCTGTTTATGTGTGTAACCAGCCAAATTCAAGTTAAACAGAGAGAGCTTGTAAGAGACTGTGCACTTTTTTTTTTCCTTAAATAAAAGGTTTTGTGAAAAGTTAGAAAATAGAAGGCATATTAAGAAGTAATTGTCCTAAAAATCCATCTATTTTCTGTAATAATGTTTAGACCTTTTAGGATACCTTTCTTTTAATGTTACTAGAGTTCCATGTAACTTTTTCGCAGAACTGGGACACTCGAACTGGGTGATAAGTTGCTGGCAATAGATAATATTCGACTTGACAACTGCTCAATGGAAGATGCTGTCCAGATCCTTCAGCACTGTGAGGACCTTGTAAAGTTAAAGATCCGCAAAGATGAAGATAATTCCGGTATTAGCAATGACTATTGCAGATTCATGTGTATTTTCAGGATTTCTAGAGCAAAGGGGATTTCTTTTAAATTTTAGTGAAATGTTTTTTCTAAACATGTCTGTTTTATGCTAATGATAATCAGAAAATATGACCTAGAAAGAATTTAGTGTTGAAGTTTCTCACTAGCTATATTGCTTACAGGAGCTGCACTGCAAAATTAGGTCTTCAGTTAGCTGAAAAGACAATTGCCCCTCAGGTGCAGCCATATAAAGTTGATCTGTTTCTTACTAGAGTATTGGGATTTTCTCTGCTTTTAAGATTGGAATCATGGTTAGCAAAGCATGGATCCCTGGGCTTCAGTTCTCCAGCAAAGTGGTGTAGTGTGTGCTTTGTCCATAAACTTAAAAATTTGACTTTGGTACGACTGTTCACATGCTCAAAGGTAAGTAGTACTTTACACACTGTGCTGGATATCTGATGGAGGATCATGCCTGATCAGCCCAGTGGAATAATGGACCTGTCTTCCCCATTGTGGATTTCATAAGAGCAGAATTTCTACCTGGAGATAATAAAGTGAGTTCTGTTATGCATTGTAGTGCAAACAAAGGCAGTTATAACTACTATTACTGCTGCTGTTTATATTGCAGTGTTATACCCACTGGAGATTCACTTCTCTTCAGCTCTATTCCATCTCACAGCAAAAAGGCACAACCTGCCACACTTTATTATTTCAAATTAAGTGCAACTGTTGAAGTGGTGTTTAGAATTGCACTAGAAGACTCTTTTCCTTTTTCTTCCTCCCTCCTAATTGATTCTGAAAGCAAACAAAGCATCTTCTTAGTATTATATTACAAAGCAAAGGCAGCTGCGTTTAGTACTTGTGCAAATTGTTGCTGTAATTGAAACTTGGATTTCAGTCTCCACCCATAGAAAATAAGATCTTTGCTCTCTTACCATGCACACCATGGTATCTGGTACAGATTTTAGTCTCATTGGGGTTCTTATACCACACTTTTCTTTTACACACTCACATTGCTTGTTTTATAGTTACATAATGTATCTATATCAAGATTCTCACACAACTAGAGTGTTCTATCCAGACATGGCTGGTGTAACTAAACAGATTCAAGTGTAACTGGACAGTTACTCAGAAACCTACTGAAAAAAAAATGCTTATACAAATTGTTCTTGTAATAGTTGGCTAAATGTCAAAGCATAAATGGAAGTATTATAGCAGATTTCAGATTCTTTGAAATTTGAAATGAGTGTCTGCTGAAATGTTAAAGAAAAAATATTTAGGAAACAGTGGCATAACAGTAGCAAAAGTGTAACAAAAAGTGGATCTCAGTTAAAATAATTCTTTGCATATTTGCCATTAATTTACTTACAAAAGTTTTTTCTTCTCACAAAGGAAGAAATGTGCTGCTCAAACTCAACAGAAGAAATAATAAATTCCTTGAGAAAATAAAAGCCTGATGCTAACTGATGAGTAGGCATGGAGCATTCCAAAACATTTTGTAAAACACAGAATAAGATTAAGATTTAAACTTCTTTTTATTTTTCACTGCATGCATTTTCACTTTCTTGAGGAAGGTGAGGCAGGGAGCAGGGCTCTCAGAGCTGTGTTCCTCTGAGCCTCCTTGCAGCTGAGGCCACAGCAGCATGATGCATGTCAGGTGCTCTTTGCCCTTGTCACCGTGGTGGTCAGATGTTATTCTGATGAGCAAGAGGCCAGTGAGCAGAGCAGAGGCACTGTAGCACAGAGGATCTACTGTCATTAAATGTGGTTTCCAAGAATTACCCACAATTGCATCACAAGAAAGATAGAAAATCTCAAAAACATGAGACCCATAACCATAGTACTTCAGTTATATCTTCTCCCCAGATGGAGGTATGTTTCCAGCAATTTTTCTCTTTCCTTTTCTTCTTGCCAGCTTCCCAAACTGAGGACAAATTTAAATCCAGATGAGCCTAATGGCTACCTCCATTTCTTGAATACCACCATTCTTTGCTTTCATGGCAGAACTGACCTTCCCGGTGAATTCAGGGCACTTGTATGCCCTGTTTTTGGATAGCTCCAACATTCTGCTCAGCATAACATTCTGCCAATAATTTTCTGACCTACAGCTACTCAGAAAACAGACACAATGGACCAGTCTTCTTTCTAGTCCTTCACTGAGATCTGTAGACTTCCAGCTCCCATGTAGAAGGGCTGCTGATAATTAGTAACTTCCTATTCACTTCCTGTTTATAGCAGAGAAGTGTTAGTATTGTGTCAACTGTTACCGCTGAAGATCAATAGATCACCCGGACACAGGCTGAGGTGTGGTAAAGAAAGAGCAGAGTTTATTTTCCCCCCCAGGATTTATAGGCTTCTGACCATGGCCAGGGATTGGATGATCAGGATAACACTTTCTCACTGCACTGGCCATGAGAGATGCCCATCACAAGACATGTAACAGAAAGAACATACACATATCTATGTTTACAGTTACTGTCCTGGGAAAGTCCTTAGAAAACTATGTTAGCAAGCTCAGAAGCTGAGTTTTCAGGGCGACATGTCAACCCTTAGCAAGTGCTGGCTATTACATTTTCAGCTGGCACGTTGCTTTCACCCTTCAGTTGAAGTCTTGCACCATGTCCATGCCACTGCTGCATAAACAGCACCAGCATTTGATCCCAGGGGATTGATTGGTGGCTGCTCCATAAATGCTTTAAGCAAGCAAAGCTGCCACTGTGCTGCTGTGCACATGCTAGCCCACTGTGTGCCAGACTGGGGCTTCCAGGGACATTTGTCTGGGTGCTTCTGGAAAGAGCACGTCAGATAAAGTGATGTGAACTGTACCAAAACACTGATGGCAATGCCCCAAGTAGGCACAAAACCCCCAGTATTCTTTGCTGAATAAACACTACTAATTCCTCTCTGATTCTCTGTGTGTGGCATTTTCTGTACATGGAAAGCAAGGAGGAAATAGAACAGAGTGGAGGGGGGGTGTAGGTGAAGATCTAAATTTTCTGAAAATTGGGAAAAAACAAAGTAGCTTCAAAGATATCAGTGATCCTCCAGCTCTGCCTAAAGTACCATGTTCAGTATCAGAAGACAACTCTTTGAGCCTTTGCTAGTGATGTAGGTTTGTTTTTTTTCCCTTTTTAAGCTTGTCTGTCTACAGGAACAGAAATGGTAACATTTGAATTTTCTAAGTTGTTGTAGTTAGTTTCAGTAACAGTTATGGAATGTGTATCCTAGACATTTTCCACATTCACTGAACTGCTCAAAATGTCACTACCCACAGATGTAGGAAAATTTGCCCACCAGACCAGCCATCCTGGCTGAATACCAATATCAGAACATCAGCTAGAAAGAATTTGTTATTTTGATTTGGGGAGAATTCTGGCATTTTAAATTTTAAAATATTACTTCACAACTCAAAGACACTGCAGTTGATTGCTCTCTTGCTGTGGTTGGGGATTTTTTAATAATATGTAAAGAGCATTGTATAAATACAGGCACATTTCTTGTTGATGCAATTCCTATTGAGTATTGTTTAAGGAAATATATTATATTTAAGTTTACTCAGTGATGGACTCTTTCCAGTTCTGATAATTGTTTGGTGTGATAAAATTTCAAAATCATGCAAATGACTTCATGCAATATCATGAAATAATATCTAATGGACTTACTTAATTCAGTTTAGTTGATAATTCAGTATACAGAAGATATTTTCGATTCTGTTACAAAAAGCTCAAAACATGTCCATAAAAAACATGGACTGTTTTACAAATACAGCTGCTCGTCTTATAATGACTTTTGACTTTTCCCAGAATTCTTTTAAGAAGGTTTGGGTTTAAAACTTTCAAATTACCTTTAATTTTAAATACCTTCCATTCAGTTCTAGAAACAGATGGGTATCAGTATTTATACCATAGTAGTAACTTGCCTTTTCTGTAATAATGTGACGCTGTGGCAAATAAAAACAGCGTCCTGGTGTGCAAGAGGCAGAGCTTGGCCAGCAGGTCAGAGGAGGTGATGCTTCTCTCCTGCTCATCACTGCAGAGAGATTTCTGTGGGCTCCCCAGACATGGACACACAGTGGATGAGGTCCAGCCAGGGGTGACAAAGGTCAGGAGGAGAGCCTTCTCCTCTGAGAAGAGGCTGGGGGAGACAGGACCTCTCAGCCTGGAGAATGCTCAAAGGGGAAATCTTCTTAGGGTGTATAAATACCTGAAGAGAGGGTGCAAAGCAGACAGAGCCAGGCTCTCCTCAGTGGTGCCCAGTGGCAGGAGCAGAGGCAATGAACACAAACTGAAACGTGTGTGAGGTTCTGTTAGTCAGGAAACACTGCTTTACTTTGAGAGTGACCAAACACTGGCACAGGTTGTACAAAGAGGTTGTGGAGTTTCTGCAAGTGGAGATATTCAAGAGCCAGCTGGACACAACTCTGGGCAACCAGCTGTAGTTGGCCCTGCTTGTCCAAGGAGGTTGGACAAGGTGGCATCCAGAGATCCTTTCCTATCAGTCTGTGATTCTGTGACAAAAAAGCCTTAAGTTATAGTTTAATATAAAAGGAGATCAGATCTAAGATCAGAAAAGAAATCAGACCTAAAGATTTTAAAGAGAGTAAAATTTAGACTTACCAGATTGAGGGGAGCTTTTCTGCTGACATGTGTCCAGGTTTTGGCAATAAAAAATTGTATAATAGGTAATTTATTTTTTTTAATACTCTAGTAGAATATGATTCAGAATTGTGTCTGAAATGTGATCTTTTGATAATGTTGTTTGATTACCAGTCACTAGACTGAATATGCTATTTTTTTCATTCCTTCTTTCATAAGAAACCAATTGCATCCCCTTGGCATTTATTGCAGATGAACAGGAGAGCTCTGGAGCAATTATTTATACTGTTGAGCTAAAGCGCTATGGTGGGCCCCTTGGAATTACAATCTCTGGTACTGAAGAGCCCTTTGATCCCATAATCATTTCCAGCCTTACAAAAGGAGGATTAGCTGAAAGGTAAGTTGGAAAGCAAATTATTTTTAAATGTTCTCTCTGTCAAGATAGAGGTTTGGTTTTTTTTAACCTAAAACCCCCAATTTTCATGGGTAAGCAATTGATTTCTTTATAATTCTCAAACCTGGAATTTATAATATTTTCGCTGTTGTTTTTTGATCACTGCCAAGCTCCAGGAGCATGGGCAGGATGTACATTAGTATACAAGGCAGAGGACTGTGGTCCCTATTATAGATCACCAAGGAAAACCTAATCAATCAAACGGCTCGGTCACAGGAACATTTTAGCAGCCTTTCAAAACCAATAGTCTTGCATAGTACAATAAGTAAAGGAAGCACTTCATGTGTCCAAGTTTATCGGAACTCATCATACTCTTATCTGCCACTGCATCTGTATGTGCACCTACATAGACCATAGGAAGCATTATCAGAGGAGAAATGCTCCTCATGGTAAGTGACAGATAGAGAATAACGAAAATTATAAGGATTTCTGTCACCTGTTATTTCTCAGATTGGTTGAGTCATTGAAACTTGGTGGTGGTTTCAGAGAGAATTTACAGCACACAAAACATGATATTGTGCACAGACATTTACACAAAAATATTTTCTTTTCTTGATTGACCCATCCTGAAGGCCAGGTTTGTGAAATAGATGGTTGCTTGCTCACAGTGGTTTTTTTTTTATATTGTGAGACTTAGAAACTTGACTCATTTTAGGGCTTACTAAGCTGTCTGAGATTGCTTATGAGCAGGTGGGCTGCAGTGAATATCATCCACAGGTGATTAACTCAGCTGTCACAGTAACACAGAAATCCACATCATGCCTCAGCTCTGCTATTGTCACTACAACAAAGGTGACTTGCTTTAAGTGTCTCTAACAAAAGAATTACTCTGTGACACAACAATAAAAGCAAAATAAAAGGAAGAAAGGGAGATGGGACTTTCATGCTCCAAAATGCCAAGAAATTGCCTTTGTTGCCTTTTACACTCTCTTCTCAATGTTTTACTTCTCTCTCTTATTGTAGGACTGGGGCAATTCACATAGGAGACAGAATTCTAGCAATAAATAGTAGCAGTCTGAAAGGAAAACCTTTGAGTGAAGCCATTCATTTATTACAGATGGCAGGAGAAACTGTCACCTTGAAAATCAAGAAGCAAACAGATGGTGAGTGTGGCCAAGGGTACCATCCATGATGGTTAATGCATGTGTTATTGCAGATTAACAAGCGTTTAGGCCACCCATGGAAAAGCTTTGTGTCAGGAGTAAAAACCAGATTCTCAGAGCTGCAGCAAAGCAAGGATCAACACCTCTTTTTATATAATCCTATTCAGCTACCAGTCCCAAGAAATTTTCTGTGCCTGTGGGTCACGTGAGTGAACTGAGTGATGCTGAAGATGAAAGCTCTGCTGCACAGAAATCTGGCAAGCTCTCGGACATCTATTCCACTACAGTCCCAAGTGTTGACAGCGCAGTGGAGTCATGGGATGGCTCTGGTATTGACACCAGCTTTGGAAATCAAGGTACTGTCAAAAATACAATCCACATTTAAAGCAGGAATTATTGCCTTCATGGGTGACCTTCCTTTGCCCTAAGTAGAACTTTTCATCTGTACTAACTTTTAACCCTGCACTTTATAATGTGCTGCTGTCTCATTATGACCACACACCTTGGCAGGCAGCATGATTTCTTGCACTTGGCTGCCCTCAGATTCATTCTTTCATGAGGATGTGATGTGTTACAAAGCATTTATCAATACATTAACAGGCTTTTGTTAGCTTTACTGACATCTGTATAGCTTGGTCTATAGCTCATCCTCAACTAAATGAGTTTATCCTTCAAGTACAGATCAATGCAAGGCGCAGAACACTCTGGAGATGTTCATGAATTTGATGCCCATATGCATTAATTTTTAAATGACAACAGATTTATTATAAACTGCTGAAGGGCAACATTAGTCACTGCCTATGATTTGTAAATCTTTTGCTTCTTCCTCATTCCTTCAGTATTAACATCTAACTTTCAGCTGTCAAAAACAATCATTCTATTTAAAAATGTGATCTTCCATAATGAGATTTTTTTTCACCTCTCTGTAACTATTGTTTCATGTAGGATTTTCAAATAATTTCAGTTTGTAATACGTTTATTTAGGCAGTGAAGGATATAGACGTTTTGTAATATTCTTGATAACAAGAAAAATAAGTTACACACAACTTCAGTTGTTTTTTTTTAATTCTTTTAAAAATGTTTCTTTCCATAGTAAACCATGTATTCCCATTACCTGGGAGATATTTGGACAGATAGGTCCTTACCTCAAATAATTTTTTCACTGGAGTTAGAATTTGGATTTATTAGACCCCTTTCCTTAACTGTGTTGGTCAGATTATCAAAACAATTTATATTAGATTTTCTTCTGATATTTTTAAGTTGTAAGGAGAAGTGCCAGAATGGTACTTCTCATTTTCTGGATGAATTGAAGATATCTGGAGCAAATTGTTCAGCTGTGGAAAGGATTGAGGCCCAGAATGCTTTCCAAAGTCCTGATGATTCAGATGCCGTGCCAAAGCTGAACCAGTATCTCAAAGAGGATTTTTTTTTAACTCCCTTGAAAAAAATCTGCCCAGACTTGGCTGGATACATGGCACCTCTGCTAAACAGCCTGAGTGCAAACAGATTTGTGGCTTTATCCCTTGGTGTTGTGGTGGCCCCCATTTCTATTAGAGTTCAATCTGTCTTGACCCATCAAGCTGAGTTTGGCTTTTCTCCAAACCTTTCTTGGCAATATGCACAGACTAAGCAAATTGAGGAGTTTGGGGGATGTTTCTGGAGCACCAGATAATGCTTTATCCTATTAATTACCAATTTAATGCTGGTGAGCTGCCTTTTCTCTCCTTGAATCAATACCCCATTTTGTATCTTTGTCTTATGTGTCTGCCTTACTAATCCAGAGCCTTCACCACACAGCAGTCACATCTTCCCAACCAATACCTTCCCTAGAATCTGGGACTGTGTTAGTATCTGCCAGTTTGCTGGAAAGCACTCACAGCTCTGCAGTTACACAGCATTTGAGGGAGACAGGTCTAGACCGATTTATGGAAGCAAATTACCCTCTTTAGAGGGGCAGCAGCAGTCACAGTAGTCATCAACAAAACAGTACTTCCTAATCCAATATGCACATCAAAAAACACCAACTGTAGAGCCAAAGAAGCAATATATCAAGGTGAAGTATATTACATACATATGTTATATATATATATGTGTGTGTGTGTGCTTATTTACATACTTACATGCAGACACATATATACATATACATATATACATATATACATATATACATATATACATATATACATATATACATATATACATATATACATATAAAATGTGTATTATCAGTTCCACCATAATGGATTTTGCTTACTAGATCAGCATCAGCTTGTGACTCCTTGATCCATGTGTTCTTCTTGATACATCACTTGGAAACTGCTTCCTACTTGGAATTCAAATTACACCTGGTTTCAGTTAAAATACTATTGAAGTAATACCTGCTTTGCTAGTATGATAAAAGCACCCAGAAATGAACTCTGCAGGTATAAAAACCATCTGATGTCACTTACACAGCCTTGAGACACTTAGAAATGGGTGATAGAGATGGTGTATATTGGTACTGGGAATGTCTGCCCATTGTGAGACAGGCCTTTCCTGAGCTCTCAGAGCCCTAGCAAAAGGGGGCATGAAAAGCCAAGTTCATGGGATTTTTTAATACATCTTTGGAAACTTTTTTCAATACATCTGAAGCAGTTTTCTTAATAATTTAGCTTTAATTTTGGGCATGTTGCATATGACCATGTTAACACGTATTTAACACATCCATGATTATTTCACTATTGATCAGTCTAGGATGTCGAATTGGAAATTGATAAATTGTGGCAGTATCTAGAACTAAATGTAGAAGCAGCTGAGACAGAAACAGTAGGAGAACAGTGTTAGATATATTTAAGATTTTGCTTTCAGTGGACATTCACAAAAGAAGCTCTAGAGCACACCTAATTCCAGCCATAATCTAGGCTAAATAATCTGCCAACAGAAAAAAAATAAGGTAACAATGACAAATTCAACAGTTCTTGAGAACCCCGCTTCAGAGGTGTGCTTTCCCATCATTTCAGCATATGCATTGCTGTAAAATAGTAATTCATCATTTTTAGGACACACCTATCAGGCTTCAGGATACAACTTCAATGCCTATGAATGGAGGAGTCCCAAGCAGGCCAGTTTGTCCCCCCCAGGCAAAGCACGGAATCAGCCGTTCCACGATGCAGGGCTGAGCGACGACGAATGGGATCGACCTGCAGCAAGCACGTAAGTTCCCATACGACTTTCTCTTCTCTGGTTTGCTGCTGCTGCAGCACCTCAAAAATAAACACTTACTGTCTTGAAAGAAATGATGTTTTTCTAATGAAGTTATAGCAGCTCTTCCTTTAAATATGAGATACAGTACACTCCATGAAACTTACTGGGGTGGATTAGTGGTTTTATAGAGGATTATGATGCCAAAACCAAGACATTTATTTCAAGTTACTTCAGCCAACGAAACATAGCATTTATCCCTTAAGAATAAACAAACAAAAAAATTAGGGCATTTCCCTGGGCAAGTTTCAGAAAAAATCTGATCTGTTTTCCACTCCACAAAAATAAACCTACAGATAATGTGGCTAAAGACAACTGGTGTGTTAATCTTTTGTCTTCTGTGAAAATTCTTCTTGGTTTGGGCAAAGAAGCACAAATTACAGTCTTCATCCACAAATACTTGAGACATTCACATTCAGTAGGAGTAAAAAGTGATCCAGGTACAAATATCTTGTCCAAACTGTTGGTATTTTGCCATGCATTTATTCCTCCTCTTCTGAGAAGTAAATCTCTTTTTCAGTTAATTTCTCTGCAGACAAAAGAACTTCCTGAGGAGGAAATTTTTACTTCACAATTCCTGGAGGTAGCGAAAGACCCAAAAATCTCTCATTTTCTATTCTAAGTTATCTTTTCTTTTGGATTTGTTAGTGGATCCACTGCAGAGACTTGGGTAATTTCTGCCAATGAACAGTTCTTACTCAGATGTGGGAAGACAGGCATCACAGTAAAGAGATTTCTGTGCTCTTTGCACCTACCCTCAGAAACTGCAGACATGCATGTCCTTCATGAGAAATACACTTTCTTGGTGTGCCAGCACAGTGAGCCTGAAATCCCAGTCTGTGAAAAATTAAAGTTTAGTACTGAAAAAACCATTCCTGGTGCCTGTATAAACATACTGCGTAAGGAAATCCATGAGATCTAGTCTGTAACCTTTGAAATACAAATCAAGGCAAAGTTTAGATGCTGCTTTCGGATTCTGAACGACAAACCCTCTGACACAGCCCACAGCTTTGTGGCATTTTTGTCTGGAGACAAGTCTGGTGAGATGACAGCTAAGATAGGAGTGAATTCTCAGCCCATATCCAGCTCCTTTGGTCCCTACTGCAGAAGCACACGGGCAGTTTTCATAGGCTAGTAGTAGACAGTGTTTAATAAAGGAAATTAGACAGTTTTCTTCATACTGCCCATTTTCTTTTTAGTTTAATAGGGTCTTTATCCACAGTTACAGCCCATATTTTGTTTCTCAAATGAGATGCAGCCATGGATTCCAGAACACCTACTGTTTTGCAGCTGTGTAAGTAATGGGCTGAAAAAGTTGATGAGCAGTGAATCGGGGAGCTGGATTGTAAAATAAAGAATCTTCTAAATGAAAAGCATGTGTTGTATTACCATTTTAAAGCACTGTGCAGCCAAAGGTATGCACAATAGAATCTTGTTCTGCTTATCAATGTGACTTACACCTGAGAGAACCTAAAATAATGGTTACTTTTAGGCTGTATCTGTAAAATGGATGGTGCCACATCTGATGGTGTTGCCATCCCAAGTGCTGGAGTATCTGAGAAGGTTATGTCTGTTCTTCAAGCCTGTTACAGGAATCCCCAGGAAAAAAACTCTTCTCTTGTAGTTCTAGCTAAACAACTTCTCTTCCTCTCTAGCTCTAGAAAGTAACTTTTTTCTTTTTCTTACCTTTGTTTCGTGTAGCACAGCTTCCAAGAATGTGTGGCAACAGAAGGAGACTGAGACATTGGGAGAGAATCAAGAAAACCATTTAAAGCAAACATCTGTAGAAAGATCAGGTGGAGAGAGCATCAGGAGTGTGAAGAAAGAGGGAAAGATGTGGAAAGGTGCCTCTGGAGGGCAAAGGAAAGGTGGGGGACAGCTGGAAGAGTGGAATACTTCCAGGTAGGAAACCAAAAAGTACACAAAAGTGAAATCCAGCTGGGCTGAGGCAGAGGTGGGGGTGGGGGGTGTGAGAAGACAGGGGAAGAAAGGAAAAACAGTTGAAATGAGAAGAACAGGGCAAAAGCAGAAAACACCACATTAACTTGCTGTTGATGGACAAGGAAATTTCAGTGGGCAAGCAAATGAAACCAGAGAGCTTAAACCACTCTCTAGCCTGGTGTATACCTATCACTGGTAGGTAGGACAAGTCTGTTGTAGTTCCTGCTCCAGAGAAAATGTTTAACACATTAAAATATCAATGCTTATGGGAATGAGTCTGCCAGATCCAAGAACTTCCTGATTAAAAAAGCTAAAAGTCACAAAGATTTTTTCTCTCATATGGCAGTAAGAACAAAATCATAGACACCCTTGTTTTTATTATCTGTCCTACTGCCTTGCCTTCAGACTTTTTATGCATCTGAATTTCTGACGGCTCTTTAAATAAGCCTCAGAAAAACAAATATGTTCATTATGGTCACAAACAATATTTCATATGACTTAAAATCAAACTCTCAGGTTTTAGATTAAAAAAAAAATCTAGATAAATTATTTTGGTACCTCTTTTGGTTTTTTGATGTAGTAGCTCAGCTACAAATTACTCATGTGGCTGTAATGAAGATGCAAAAGTTGAGATTTCACACACCAGGAGACAAGACTCAGGGTAAAAGCAAAAGAGGAGAGGAGAGCTGAAAAAGAAACAGCTTCAACTGAGAAGTCCAGACATAGAAGCATCATGATTTTATATTTCACAGAAGTCAGAGAAGAGATGGACCTCCAGTTCTAGGAAATCCAGGTTTTGCTGTCGCAGACAATTGCCTCAAATTATCTTGTTCATTAGCTTAAGTTCCATTTGATATCATTAATATGCAATATAGCAAGAGATATTGGAATAGATAAATTAGTCTACATTCAATATTGGCTATTGAAAGAACTACATAGATTTATTGAAAAAGTTCATTTCAGAAGTCAAGGATCTGTCTAAAATCATGTTTTAAATACTTTCTTGTCTTGCCTGGGAGGAATTGCATCTGTGATCTGAGTAGGTATTCCTGCCATTACTGTATCTATTGCAATATCTTAGAAGAGACACTGATGCTAGGTGGAGAATCATTGCAATAAGAGATTGAAATGGCTGGCCATTGTCTGCTTGACTGATTGTAGCTGTAAGAAAGCATCTCTGAGGCAGAGTATCATGTGTGTGAAGCATTCAAGCTGTCCTCCCTTGTGCTGGACAGTTCTCCTATTTAAAAGCTACTGTGTAAACAGAATTACATTCACGCTATTCTCAGTAATACATTGTTTGTCAAGCAAGGCCTCAGATGCTTCCATAATAGTGTCTGCTCTGTTTATGTGCTGTTAAGCACCACTAGCTGCAGTCCATGGGCAGCTGCTCCAAAGTAACAGCTTGCTGCCACCAAAAGGGCGAATTGTCACTTTCCTTCCTCATCCTTCTTCCCCTGTGCCTTTCACATAATCAGCCCTCTCCCATGCAGCAGCTCTGATGCTTGTGTGAATCTTTACTGAGCTGCTTCCCCTTGCTGAGACAGGAAAACCTCCTGCTTCCCTCCCTGTATACACACATACACTGGAAAGGTGTTGCTTTGGGCTGTGCCACCGCAGCCCAGAGTTGTGGTTTTTATCAGACCTCACTTGCTGAGCAACTTCCCTAAGCATCACTGTCACCAACATCTGCTCAAGAGTGCTTTTAATAAGGCTTTGGTGCATTTATGAAACACCAGAGACCTAAGTTTCCATGCAAGACAGTGGCATCCCTGAAAGTTTCTCTGTTTATGTATGAAATTATTGGAGCAGTTTATATTATGGTGATCAGGTGGGCTTAAACTCATAAATGCAGCTTAGGCTGAAGGAATCAGGTAAAAAGCACCACCAAGCCTCTTTTGCAAAATGTTGTTTGTAAAAAGAAGAGGACTATTTCCATATTGCCTGGGAGAAGTCTGTGAGCTTGAAAGGTTTTATTGCAAATATTTGTTGCACGGAGCAGCTCCGCATACAGCTACTGGTTGATCCATTAGTTTTCATAGGGAGGTTCCGGTTTCAATCCAGTAAAAATGTGTATTGAACTGTTCTTGGAATCCATTTCTCTCCTTACTGAACAACTGGCTGCTCAGATCCTGCCAGCTGCTAGTGACTGCCAGGTTATGAGAAGGCTTGTCTGTCATGTGCTCTGCATGTCCATCCGGCCTCTCCTGATCAGCGACTCTTCCCCACTCTCCTGCATAACCTTCTGTCATTCAAGTTGCAGTCTGTGGCAAGGCACGTGTGTAATATATATATATTTTAGAGGGGGGGAAAAAGTCCACATTTTTTTAACTTCTCATTGTAAATCTAGCTTCACAGGTCCCCATGATAACACCGAGGCTGACCAGGAGGAAAATTTCTGGTCTCAGGCTCTGGAGGATTTAGAGACCTGTGGCCAGTCAGGAATTCTGAGGGAACTAGAGGTAGAACAATCTTAACCTTTCTTTCCAATTATAGAGAAATATAATGGTTTTGGTTTGGTTTACATTCATTTTATTTTCTCCTTTTTTCTTTTAAGTTGCACTAATCACACCGATTCATTTAAAAGCTTTAACCCCTCTCCACAGGACAAGGCTGACAGGCGTCTGTGTTTGAGAAACATGACTCTCTTGGTACCTACCCTTTACCTTTATATTTTTGCTTGTGCAGCTGCCTCCCCTGCCCCTAACCAGAGCTGTTTTCTTTTGTGCAATGCAACCAAAATTCTATAAACATGTTCACCCCAGTGCTTTTGACTTGCAGCTTCTGCTGTGCATAACCATCAATGCTGTCTGTAAAGGCAGCAAATGGCACAGAACTTCTAAGTGGGCATAACCTTCCTGCAGCAATACATTCCATTCTCTGACAGACGCTTCATGCAGCTTTTCTTAGCATGTTGTAGGTTGTCTTTTAAAATGCAACTTAATTTGATTAAGATGAACATAAAAGAAAATCAGCTTTTCAAAATGTTTACCTATAATCACACCACTCTGAAAGAAAAAGAAGCTGCCAATGTGAGAAATGTTCATTATACAGCAATTTCTTCACCATGTAACAAATTTTCATATTTCATCCTTAAGTTCACTACAAATCTAACCATGCTTTGTGTTGGATTGTACTGAGGGCACATCGGGGGAAGAAAACAGACACAGAGTAACTTGGGAGTCTTTAATTTTTTAATCACCTTTTCAATAAGTTATCTAATCAGAGCAATTACCATTATACTGCCAATTGAAACCACAGAATGAAAGGTCCTAAAATATTTTCTTTTATGTTCTTTTAAATTCCTGGAGCTGCAAAACTGGCAGAATCTCATTTTCATTTTTATGTTATATAAAGTCCTTTAGCAGCCAGGAGGAATATGAATGGCGTAACTGGGTGAAAGTTTTTCAGTCCAGATTAATTTACTTCCTCAGATTTATGGCTTTTGTATTGCATGTATGGGTAGCAAAATGTGATTCTCATATATTTGTTATTGAAAACCAGAGAAATATAGGAGAAAATGTTATACTGGCTTAATTCTATAGTTAGATATGATTCAGTACTGCAGGCTTCTCTTGCAGTTTTCAGTATTCAGTGCATAATAAAAGGATATGGAAATAGATAATTCCAAAAGGGAAATAGGTCATCCATGCTGTCCAGAATTCAGTTACTTCAACACACTGAATTTTCCTCAGTCTTTCACAAAAGGGAAATTCAGAACTGTAGATGTACCATTTATAGCAATGCCTCGTTGCACAACCCCCAGCTCTGAAAAGAAAGCCAGACTCATTCTGTGTGACAGGATGCTGAGAGTGGCCATGCCTCTACTTTATGAAGTGCCATGGCGTAGTCAAGCACTCCTTATCATTTTTCATTTCAAGGTCTTCAGCCAAAGAGCAAAGAAGGCTGTTGTTTGCCAAGTCTTCTGGCTGCTTTTGCTCCATCAGGCAGTAATATCAGTCATTACTGAGCACAGAAGAGTGTTATGGCTTCGATCCATTATCTCATAGTGAAAGTAATGCTGGAGCTGTGAGAAGGAGGGATGACAGACATGCTCACCAGAGTTATAGGCAAACATTTATTTGTCTGTTTTGCCCTTATTTTTTACTTCTCCTATTCAAGCAGGCTGTCTGTATCCAGTCCCAGTCAGAGTTCAGGTTATGGTCTTTAAATTTCCCTTTCCAGTTGTCCATCAGAAGAGATAATAAACAGGAAATTCAGCTCACCCTTTCCCCGCAGTCCCAAAGTGCATATGCCTCCCACTCCCCAGAGCAGAAGATCTTCCCCAAAGGAGAAGGCTCCTTGCTGTGCATGGATGCTTTTCAAGTTCAGTCTGTTCCACCCACTGGGCGAGGTGATTCCCATCATCTTCTTTCATGATTTCACCCTCCATGTATTCTTGCATCTAAAACAAAAGGCTGTCTTTTACTGAGATTAAAACCAGCAGTGAGACCAGGGCCAGTATTAATGGTGAGCCAAGGCAGTCACTCTTGCAGTGTGCATGTCATACAGAGTTTCTTTCCAGGCAGTGAGCTCACCTGCACTGAGTTTTCCCTGAGCTTGGGGTAGTACCCAGGCACTCTGCCCATGCTGGCTCTAGAGCTACCTACATATTCTGCTGACTCACATTTTTTTACCTTGCACACACAGTCTGAATTGCAAATGCCTTCCTGTAGTTCCAATTCCAACAAATGCAATTATGCCACAACTTAGATGTTGTTTTATTTATGTGTAAAATATTTTTAAAATAAGCAATTACACTACATACTCTTCAGTCTGCCAGGGGACTGGCTTACAAGCATAGCCATTCTGGTGCTCAGTATTTCAGTTTGAAATGCCATCTGAAAACTTTTGCCCAAAGGGTTCATATATTGTTATTGTGTTTTGTTGTGGTCCTTTATTTTATAGTGACTTGCAAGCAGATTGAACATCTATCCTCTTGCCTTTTGCTGTGCCCTGAGTGATTGTGTTCTAACAAAGAATAGAGGTGTTTTTCCTACTGCTATGAATTAACCACTTACTTAACCCACATTCTGTGCTACAAATTAACCTGTTCATTAATGCTCTAGGCCACAATCATGTCAGGAAGTACAATGAGTTTGAATCATGAAAACCCACAACCTCGTAACCAGCTGGGAAGACAAGCCAGCTTCCAGGAAAGAAGTTCTGTAAGGCCACATTACAGTCAAGCTACTCGTAGCAACACATTGCCTTCAGATGTGGGGAGAAAGTCCATGGTTCTGAGAAAATTTAAGCAAGAAATGAAAGAAATCATGTCACCAACTCCCGTGGAGTTACACAAGGTCTGTAATTTTTCTTCTGACAGCTTTGAAATAATATATTCAGCACAGGAACTCTAATTATATGGCAACACAGTAAGCACTTTTTATAATGACTCCACAGATGTAATTTGGGGGCCATGCATATTAGTTCTTACAAACACATTAATGATAGATCCTTGTGGGGGAAAACAAATGAATAAGATGCATCCTTGTCTACTATTTCATTTTACAATAAATCCTCAAAAGGCACTGCTCTTTTGAAAGGAGCATCCGCTGGTAATTTGAATTGACAGGACCAATAACTCTCCTTTGCAAAATGTGTTCATTAAGAAATCAAAGTTTAATTTCTAGAAAATACATTTCTTCAGGAAATTACTCAGGAGGTTTTGGGGCTCCCATAAGTCCTTTTTTAAATTAACACTCATTTTCAATCAAATACAAGAGATTCGATGTACATAATGTAGAATGTTATTTCCAATTAGGTATTGCTTCTTTTCTCTTTAAAATTCCTTTGATGTAAAAAGGATAAATAATCTTCAGACTGTGCAGCTTTTCACTGCCCAAGATGGTTGAAGTCACTGGGTGACACGGAGGTGGCTCTGCACTCCAAGCCAGTACTAGATAAAGTATCTTTGGATATGCACAGCAAACAGCCAGCCACTTTAGGTCTCAAGTCCAGTGGGGCCATGAGAGCAACCAGTTTCCAAAACTTTGAGGGGCATTATAATGCTATTCTCCCTGATGGGAATAGGCACCCCATTTCCTGCACCCATTTTCCTCTTAAAGGTCTGAGATCTTTCCAGGAAGGAGGCAGAACATAGAAGAATTTCATTCATATGTCATCTCGTCATTCTCAAGAGATTTGGTTTGGTTTCTAGTCTCTGTGGATTTACCTCACTTTAGTCTGTAGTTCAGTTGAGTTCAGCAACATAAAGACTTGCTGAGTGTAGGCTAAATGAGTGTTTATAGAAGGTGGTAGAGAACTTATCTAATATATGGTAAATTAATTCATTGCCGGTGTATATGATCAATAAAGATGAGTTGTGGTAGTTTAAAACTATTCCTGTTTCCAGCTTGATGTGACCAGTGGATTTAGGTACTGTGCTCAGCTTTTCAGAGTGGTGAATAAATGCGAAATATAAAACCAAAATATACCAGTAGGTATTTCACAGTGTGCTCACATTCAACAAAGGCACAGTTCTGGATTACAAAGCCAGCCTTTAATGTTAATGAGTCAGTGGTATTATGTGATAGTAACTAGCTGTTAGAGTCCTGAGCAGCACAAATAACCTGTCCACGAGCTTTCTCTTGCTTCAGCTGACTGTTTTTAAGATTGCTTTGACCTTTCCTTTGAGTAATTTCCAGACTTTGTTCAGACAATATACCGTTTTTCCCTGTCTGCTGAAGTGATGCTGAGTTTGCTTTTACTGTCTGTTCTGTCACCCAGAAAAGAGTAATTTCCTCTCTAAAAATCTAAACATTGAACCTGTACTGAGGATTTTCCAAATCCTTACAGTCATTCAAGAAAAACAGAACTAGTGACTGGATCTTATGGTCTGATTCCCCAAATTGAGGTTATACCCCTGTGACACATGCAGGTTAGCCCAGGCAGCATGTACTGCTTTTTATCTGAACAGGTTCTTACTAGTTAGCTTTCCTACCGGGTCTTGTGTAGCAGTGTGCCTACCACCTTCTCTCATGTATTCATGTTCATTTTTGTATTAGACCTCTAATTTAACTCTAATAACCTGTTCCTTTGGACAGCTTGTCCAATCAGAGTTTTCCAGAAGAGCTGCAATGCCACAGGAATGACTCCACTGTCAGGGAAAAGCCTTGTTTGAAGTCTTTTTCATGTATCCTCTTGCTGGCAACGTGTTCTGCCTTCTGCAGGCAAACGTCTTAATTAGCTGGGCCACTGAAAAATAGGAAGATTTGGAAAACTATGATGGTATGGGCAGTTTTGAGATACAAGCTAAGACATAGTTTGTCTAAGACCTTGCTCAGCAGATTCTCCAGAATGTGCTTGCCCACGTGCTGCTGAGCTTCCCCAGTTTCATGGGCAGGGCAGGGCAGGTGCCTTTGTTGTGTGTCAGTGTGATGAGTCTGCATCCCTGCTGAGGCAGGGGCTGTGTGCCCACAGAGCTCACTCTGCAGCAAAGTAACCTGAATTCTTCACTGCTCTTTCTTTCTGCATTGCATTCACCAGCGGTGCACTTGAACTGTCTTTGTCCTGAGCAAACTAGGATTGAGATAAATGTCCTACGGATCTCTTCAAACATTTGTTCTAGATGGTTTAATAACATTTAATTTAGCTGGATAGTGTATTGCTATATCAGTACCCAAATTTAATGAATGCCTTTAATGATTTTATCTGCTTAGATAATAATATAGATTAACATTTTTCTAAAAATCATAGCAGACCATTTTTTAGAAGTTTCATAGAGCACACATTCCTCTGAGAGCAAAAATATGCACTAAGATCAGATAATTTTTCAATATTATTATTGCAAGTAGTCATTAACCTAAAATTACAGTCAGTTAAAATATCTCAATAGCTGATCTGTGCAAGATGTATGAATTTAAATTAAGCATTTTCCCATATATTTGAGAGGGAGAAGAGGCATAGGCACAGACTCAAAATGTATAAGCTTGTGTTTAAAATTTGTAACTATTTAATTGCTTGTGAAATATGAATTAAATTTCCAAATCGACTTTCTTTTTCCCTTAGGCTCCTGAAGTAAATTTAAAAGACTAACAAATCACCCAAATGGAGATTTTGCTATTGAGATCAGACCTTCCAAAGAGTTGTGATCAGCAGTACAGATAAACCAGCATGATTTAGGTGTTGTGTGAATAGTCTGAAGTTTTATTCCCTTCAGAGAGGGCTGCTGCAAATCAAGATGAGGAACCTATGGTAGGGCTTTGTCCATACCCATTATTAAATAGAAATTGAGTATTTCAGATAGCAGAGCTTTTATCAGAGATTCTCTTTGAAGAATATATGTTGCCCTAGGAAGAATTAGCCCCAAAATTATAACCTCTAATACGAAAGAAAGTTGTCTGCAGATGACTTCCATCTGAAAAATGTGACAGCTGTCAAACATGCAACCAAGCTAAATTGCTACCTCATCCCTGAAGCCAGCATCAGCTTCTTTAAGTTCCAAGCTCCTGTTAAACACAGCAAAGGTCAAGAGAAGGTAGCTGTAAAGGAAGCAGTTTGTAAAACTCCAGGATCTCTAGATCTGAATAACAACAAACATCAGAAAATATTTTGAAATGTGTAAGTTGTGACTTACAAAACACTTCGGATGACCATTCCCAAGGTCTGTGCCCCTCCCTGTCCCCTGCCTTGCCTGCTCCATTGCAGTAACTTCCCACTGACCCTCTACAGCAAAACTCCCCTTCCATGCCCTTTATCATTTGAAATGCTCCATTTTTTGTCTCACAAGGTGGGCATGAAGTAGCATGTGCATTACTACAGACAAGATACAAGTTAAGGTGAGCTAATGTGTAATGGCTCTTCCCATAGACTTGTATTTGTATGTGTTCTGTTGGCTGATAGTTCATTCACTAAAAACAGGGGAAAAAGCAACACTATCATAGAACATATGAATGGGACCACCATCCATGGTGAGTTAATTCTCCACTGCAGTTTGGCTTTGAGAAGCTCTTGAGTGTAATAGTGTCCAGTTTGCGATCTGAAACTTAAAGAAAGATGTTGACCACATGGACAGGGTCCAGAGAAAAACAAGCCTTATTTTACATCACTGCAGAGAAAGAATAAAGTGATCTTGTTCTTTGTGCATGGCTACAGGCTTAAGCCTCAGCAAGGGTGATTTAGTTTAGACCCAAGGAAAACATTGGAAGGACTGGAAGGGATTACTTTAATAAACTGCGGGGTCTCAATCACTGGAGATCTGAAAAACCGAGACAGATAAATGTATCTCTGAAATGGTTTAGGTGCAGTTGGTCTTGTCTTAGGACAAGAATACAGTCTAGATGACTTCAGAGGGTCCCTTGTTTCACATGCTTTTCTAGTTTATCTGGGGCTGGATCCAGCTCCATTTGACTCCAGTGACTGAAGAAGGGGTAAAGGAGTAAGTGGAAAAGGGAAGTTCCTTTCAAAAATTGTGCCACCAGTGCTAGAACAGGACAGAATATTTCAAGTCTTCTTCTCCTAGGCATGGTATCCCCTTTTTACATTAACTTTTCAAGGCTTCTTTAAGAAGCTGTTAACTTAAAGCACTTCTGTCCTTTGTGATGATGAAGATAAAAAAGTGACTTTGCTAGAAGATAATTTGGTCTAGAAGGGTCTTGGTCTAGAGCTAGTTACTTCTAATTTCTGCCAGGAAGTGCACACAAATCTGTGTAAAATATATCTCAGTAAAATAAATCTCCCTGCTTTTTTTTTTGATGGTCTAACAGCACTTTTGTAGGAGCTTCGAACACACTTTTATCAAAGCCATGTTAAACATGCCATGATATCACAAAGAAAAGCTTCTGTTCATACCAAATTATTAGAATTTCCCTGAGTCCTGTTGATATAGCATCTGTTGATACAAATTAAAATAATTCTATGATGAATTATTGTGAATTTGCAGATAGGTTTTTCTGTAGCTGAAATGCCTATTAACTCCTAAAGTTCATGCAGGGATGGAGGACATATGATAGGTTCAGCAAGAAGATACCTTGGGGGAGGATGGGGAAAAGAAGGCAAAAAACTTAAACACCACAGTCCCTACAAAGTATGAAATGACAGCTCATACCCAAAAATGTTACTGGCAGGAAGAAAACCTTTAGCTTTAGGTGTGGCTTTCTGCTTTGCAGTGCTGTTCAGGGAGAGAAAAATAAGGGAAGAGGATGAGCTGGGGTAAAGTAAGGGACGAACACCATGTGGGGGTGTTTGTGCTCGGCACAAGACACTGATGTTTTCACAGCAGCCCTGCCATGCACATCCACATCTACAGAGAGAATGGTGCTGCTGCTGCTGCAGCTGCTGCCCTTGTACCCAGCCTCTCTCAACTGCTGCCAGGACAGCTACCAAACTTATTAGTTAGTGTGATTTCATTCTGGTGAAAGCAGAGCTGATACACCCCTAAACCCAAGTCAAGAAAAATGCCGAGAGCAGGAAAGAAACCTAAATCCCAAATCCTTTACTCCTCTTTTGAGACAACCTGGTCTGTTCTGGCATACCTTTTCACACTGGCAATTAAGACAGCAGCTCAGCTGCTCTCTGAAGGCAGCACCAACCAGTGCTGTGCCTCAGCACTGCTGTGAAATACTGGCCAAGTCCTCAGCCTGCTTTGAGCACGACACTAGACTAGAGACTTCCCAAAGTCCCCTTCAATTCAAATGATTCCACAATTCAGAAACATCAGGAAGGAATTCAGAGGCTGGTGCACACACAGGGATGCAACACATGGAATATTATTTGTACCAAGTCATTATAAAATTTTGGAACAGTTAATGTTGCCATTTTTATCAACCAAGGTATGATAAAACCAGTGCATTTTGAATTCAAGGTGATACAAGCTACAGCAGTAAAAATACAGGTCTGACTGTCCAACTGTATCTGTGCACTGGCACACCACTCACACAAATTACTTGCATAGGTCAGCACCCCTGATGTGAGGAGGACCAAGGAAAAATCTAAGCATGCCACTTTCCCACAAAGAAGTCTCTATCTGTCAAATAGCCGAATTCACAGAACTATCTGTGAGGACTTGTCTTCTGAACACCTGAAAAACCTTCTCCTAACTATTTTATTATCTTCTATTTCCTGCTTTTGAAAAACCACCTCATGGTTATGTAACTGTAATAACACTGCCTGCAAGCTTTTTCAGAAGGAGCCTTATTTGTACTTCCTTAAAAGATTGCATTATAACTCTCACTGAGCACTTCTGAGGTGAGGCTTTACAGGGTGGACCACTGCCTGGTCTAGACACTAGATTACACTGACAATGGTCTTTATTCCCTTGACTGCAAGACACAACACCAATTGTTTGATTGAGGCCAGGTCTTCATACTTAAAGCAAAACTAAGCCTTGTCTTGTACTCAGATCCTGGCAGCTAGAGAACAGAGAAATAAAACACTAAGAATCAAAAAGTGACACCAGAAAAGGTGGGCTAAATACCACAGCTGACAAGCAGAAGTGAAAAGGGCTGTTTATTTACAAAAGGATAAGGTGGCATCTGAGAATATTAACATAATATCAAAATGAGGACAACTTTAATACTGTAAGTACCAAAGAGTAGGTAAGTGATCTCTCTAAAGTGAAAAAAAACAATGTCACCAAAGCCATCCTAGTAAGAAAACCTGACTCGTGCTTGTAGAAATGGGGACAATGTTTTTTTCTTTCTCATCACATCACCTCTCCTCCACAGGTAACTTTGTACAAGGACTCTGATGGAGAAGACTTTGGGTTCAGTGTCTCAGATGGTTTATTGGAAAAAGGAGTGTATGTTAAAAACATTAGACCAGCGGGCCCTGGTGATCTGGGAGGTTTAAAACCGTATGACAGACTTTTACAGGTAATGTTTCTGCCACTGTGCAGGTTCAGCATGAAGGGACATGACATACAGATTACTTTGTAAAAAGGTTTATAAGCACACTGCGGGGTATTTGGGTATGCATCTTTGGAGAGGTGATTGTGGAAAACTGCAGTTTTGCAGCCTTGTTACTTGGAACAGCCCTGTAACCTACATTGCTTATTATATTTTAAATAAAGAGCACCAGTTTGTATTTCTGCTGGGAAGGGATGTGTATAGGAAGGATGATGTGATCAGGAAGGACAAATGACCATAATTGCTCTGCACCACAGGTTGTGCTGTGTAGATTTCTTTCCTTGGCAAGGCCGAGGCTCCGCTTCATGGAGCTTTGGACTTTATGCAGTGGCACTAAAGCTGGATTTTCCTGTGCAGTCAGGTTTATAGAAACAAATTCTTTCGGAATGCTAGATATTTTATAACTCCAAAGGAGACATACAAATGCTCACTACGAAGCTGGAATTTCCCACAGCATTTCCAGACAGATTTTTCTTTCTTGCTTTCCTTGATACAGACGTGAGAATTATTTCTTGTGTTTAATCCAAGTGTTGACTGACACAGTTGGAATTCTGTAATACTCAGCACCACACTTACCACAGTGCCAAGATGGACTGATGAAAAAGCCAAATTATTTCTCAACTAGCCTAATAGAATGCTTTATATAAATTTATATATATTAGGTGAAACCAGAGAAGACTTGAACTGAATTGAAATTTCAGACGTGTTCTACTGCATTTAAATTGATGAACACCATGAAAGAGAAACTATGTGCTGTTAAATGTCATTATTGGAGTGAACATTGTGAAAGCTGGCAACAGCCAGCACCAGTGTAAATATCCCCTTCAGCTACATTCTGTTTAAAAGTGAGTAGAAAACTTAACTGATGTGCTTCAGACTAGACATCACAGTTAAATAGTCTTATATTGTGCAGTTCTCTACTTAGAATAGTTAAATCAAGCTCTATAGTCTCAAGGATAAATGTTTTTCTCTAGTGATCTCATTTTTTCCCCTAAAACAGTAACAAAAATCAATCTTCTCATCAATCAGGTAAACCACGTTCGCACCAGAGACTTTGACTGCTGTTTGGTTGTGCCCCTCATCGCAGAATCTGGCAATAAGCTGGAACTGGTCATTAGCAGAAACCCACTGGCATCTCAGAAAGGAAGCTCAGAACACCCTTCAGGGAGTGGGGAGTGGAGCGACCCGAATGCTGCCTTCCTTCAGCAGAGTGGACACAGCAGTGTTAGCACGGAGACAAGGGATCCTACAAATACGTTATAGCCGAAACCATCGGAGCGGGACGTTTGGTAACAAAAGACAATTATGGTGCTAAATCCATTCAAGAGTTCTCTGAGATTGAGGCTCAGATGCTGTACAGCACTGAAAAGCACAGGAGGTCAGTTGGTCTGTCTCAAGGCTTCTATTAATCCATGGTTACTTTGGAAATAGTTTCATTCTTCATTAAGTCAAGCCATTCCATTCTAAACAATCTAGGATTAGTAACAGTAAAAAAATACATAAGGGCCTTTTTTTTCCCCAAATAAGAAACTGGGGAGATGTTTTAAACATGCTCTAAATGTTCTTCTCCCTTCAGCAGCAGCAGCAGCTGTTTGAGGGAAAAACATGAGTTAACCTCTGCTAAGAAACAGTAGTGTCCAGGTTATGCAGTTTTTAAAAATCATTTTATCAGGAAGGTGGTGCTGTCTGTTGGACAAGGCAGAGTGGTTTACTGCACTTGGTTTTCCTGGGAAATGGCTACATTTCTGATTTTGAAAACCTTTATTCGCTGGCGAGAAGGGTGCACTCATTAGACAAAGCAGGGTTTAGATGTTATAACAAAATGCTTGCAGGAAGCTGCAGTTTGCATTGAACATTACTCCCCACTTCAGCAAACTTGGTTAGAACATATGTTACTCCCTATGCAATGAAATATTTAATGGTATGTCTTGCAACCTGTGGGGATTTTTAAGCAGAGACTTTTTTAGTGGGATAAAACCTCTGACGGGGGATTACTGGAAAGAGTGAAACTGAAAGGAGTTCAGACAAATTAGAAAGGTTTTTTTTTAAAAGAAAATGGCTTTTTTAAAATTCTGTCAGTGGAGATTGATACAGAAGCTCTTTAATGATCCATAAACCTGTAAAACTTGTACTGTCACATGTGAGCTTTTTAAGTCAATCAGTTTCTTGAAGGAAGAAAGGTCCTATTTAATATGCTTTGTTTTCAGCCTTCTTTATGATAAACATTACCCCCTGCAACACATTTTTAGAATTTAAAATTGTAAATATATTTTACAAACACATCACACAAATTGTCTCCTCTCCCTTCTTCCCCCAAGCAATAAAAGACTGCCAGTTGCTTTATATGCTCACCAGCAGCTGCATTGGTTTATTCTGGTATTCAAGTTGTTATTGGTAATTATTGTTATTGGTGAATATAAAGATACTGGATTTGTACATTTGTAGAGTCTCCATATCTAAGCAATCACCTTACAGAGTTGTTTCTGGTCAATTTAAACTGTTTAATGTATCCCTGTTGCTGTTTCCAATACATAAACAAGCTCACCTGCCCTGCACACACAAGCATCTCTGATTTCTATTTCAGCACTGCCAGAAAAGGTCAGAATGACACTCAAGGCTGAATCATGTAAAAAAAAAAACAAAAATTAAAAAAAAAACAAACAAAAAACAAAAACTCCAAGCTTCATGAGTCACTTAAATATGTATTTTTATTTGTAACAAATAAGTATTAAACTGTAAAGTATTTTTGTACAAATTTAATACTTTAATAGCATGATATTTATCGTCTATGTTATGTTTTTTGAAATTCAAACTGTTGCAAATATTTGTATGGAAAAACTGTATAAATTGAAATAAACAGTGATTTAAAGACGTTAAAAATGAGGTAGAGTTTTTCAACTTCATATTTTTCCCAGTGTTTTAGAAAAAAATACCATTTTTATATTTGTGGCATACTTTTTCCTACCCTGAGTGAAAAGAAAAAATGTTAAAGGTAAGCAGGTTGTCTACATTTTAATGGACATCAGATGTTTAACAATCAATTTATTAATCTTGAAATTGCAGCAAGTCCTACAGTGCACATGAGAAAGCTGAAAGCGGAATGTTATTTGAACTCTGATTTGGAGTTTTGCTTTTCTTACCATGATCATCATAGATCAGCACAGAACTATTAGCTAAAGCAGCAATGGCAAGTTCTACATCATAGAAGAAGTTTTCTAAGTCACTGATTGCAACTTTCTTGTTATGTCTTAACAAGATTAAAATCCATTATCCATCAAAGCTCACAAAACCTACACCCCTTAGTAAACTGTTTGCTTTACTCAAGGAAACGATAGTTTTGGCACATCAGTAAGAGCATCTCATCAATACTGTAGCATTTGGAGATGGATAAATCTTGGTATGGACAGCTAGGAGTCTTAAAATCAAAATACATCCTTGTGTATTTTTTAAGGAAACATCTGGATCCTCAAAGACCTGTAAGTTCATTCTTCAGCAAAACAGAAGAATTACATGATTTTTGATTACCAATACACCAGTGAATCTACTAAAAATGAATCACTGAAAATGTAAATAAGAGGCGCAGCATAAAACAAGCTGTTCTTCATAGAACATGCAAAACCAATAAAGCCCTTGAAAGGCACCTGCATATTCAGCTTCTCCATCCCAAATATCTTGAATAGGTTAGGTAAAGGTTTATACCAAGACCAATTAATAATTGTCTGTTAGCTTTTGAAAAGCTTCCTAGGAATTTGCTGACCCAAACTTAGATTCTTAAGTCTGGAAGATCCAAGTGGAGATTCTTCTGCTGTTGTCTGTCAAAACAAAACAAAAATGTTACCCAAGTTTGAAACAGACCTAAAATACTTTAACTTCTTCAAAAAAGGCTCTTTCTCCATGAGCTCAGAAATTAGATGTAATGAAAAAAAAAAAGCATCTGTTAGTAGGTCTGACTTTATAAAAATCAATTTCAATTATTACATTTTATACACATCTCACAGCACATCACCTAAAAACTGACATTTGTGCACAGACCATAAGCTGATACAGGCTAAGCTGGTCAACAGATCACTCTGAGAGTAAAAACATGTATAAGTTTGTTAGTATTGACATTAAACCTTTTTTTCTGTATTAGCCATACATTACTCTGCAAAGACATCTGCCAAATTTGAGTGCTTCACCAATTACTGGTCAACTTGAAAATTATTAAATAAATATTAATAAAACATCGTAACAGTGCCCAGGTGACTTGCATTGGTGAAAGAGAGTGCAAAAGTTTGTTTTAAACTTTCTCAGTAAGGAGATACTTACAGGAGGTATTTTTGTAGCATCCTCAGATGCAGGAATTTGTCTTTTACATGGACTTTGCTGCAAACTGATTGTCTGCTCTTTACTGAGAACTGATGACCTCTCCTGTATCACGAGGTTACTTTGAAGTTCAGGTGGGTCAGGAGCACTTTGAGTAAGAGAAACAGACTGAGTCTCAAGCTCTTGACTTTGCCAGCACTTCATCAGGGAAGAAGATGTTTGTTCGGGACAGCTACTGGTTTCTGCAACTGCCTCTCTCAAAAACCTCTGCAAACGTGTTTTTCTGGTTATCTCCTTGTTCTTTACTGCTTTCCTGAGGTGCAGCTCCTCAGCTACGATGTAGACCCGGCAGCGTCCCCTGGTCACGGCTGTGTACACGTGCTGCCAGTGCTGCCGGCCCGCATTGCCAACCACATACACCACGGTCCTTTCCTCAGAGCCCTGAAACGTGGGAAAATGCTGGTTTTCAAAGGCTGATTTCCAGGAAATAGTTAAAAAAAAGACAAGAATGAGGAAGTTGGAGGCAACTGGGGACGCTCTCAAGAATATTTTCTATAGGGAATTCTAGTTTCAAGAATGTTTCTGATTCATTCATGAGTGAATACAGTGTATTACCTCACAGCTGCTGTGTTTTTACCTGGAATGTGTGAATAGTTCTGGCCCAGGCATGCTTTATGTGACACAACTTCCTCAGTGCCTTGTAGTTCACAGTGAATGTGGAGCCGCCGTACGTGCTGCTGATGGTCAGTAAGCGCTGCTTATCAATTTCTGCATCCTTAAAGAATAGCACAACACTCAGCAGTGAGCCTGGATCCGCAGCTGGAGCAACGTCTGTACTTCCCTATTCTAGCTTTCCCTGAAATTACAATACCTGCAACATCGACCAACTGAAAGTTTCAGAAGACACTAAACCAAATAAATTGCTGCCTTTCACTGACTACCTTGAAGGAAAACAGTTTTCACTGTTCAGGGATTACCCTAAGTACTGGTGCTTTCACTGCTCAACTCACTGAACCCAGCAAAAAAAACCAGTTTTTTGTTGCTGTTAACTTTTAGGCCAGCTTGGTTTTCTGCCAGAGAAAACTTTAGCTGTAGCATTACTCTTTACTTCAGACTATGTTAAACATTATCTGTTTCAATTACAATACATTTGAGTATTTACAGAATGTATTTACACTGAACACAATCAGACCAACTGAAACACATTGTACAAAAAAGCCCAGAATTGAGGTTTTTTGAATACTCTATCATACTTTGTCTTTTTCACGTCTTTTGCATGATTGTTTAGCCAAACTAAGTATGTATTATGGGCTAAACTTATAAAGTGTGAATTGCTTTGTTTGGGGGATTCAGCAAGCAGTGAGTAATTTCCCACCAGGTTTTCTTTGTGCAAGTTCTTGCAGCAAAGACTTACCTCTGTAATGAAAAATATATCCCCATTGCAGAGTCGTTTGCCCTCCTCATCAGCCTCTGCAGTGAGTGTGGTTTCTGCACTTCTGCATTTCTGGCTATTAGGACCCTCTCTGACACCGCTGGCTGCCAAGAGATCCTTGAGATACACATTGCGTGTGCTGGCAATCTTGTCCCCGTTTTGAAATAGAAGTCGGTTCTTGTGGTCTCTGGGTCACAGAAAGAAGAAGGGGAAAATGTATTTACAAAGTGTGCATTTACCACATCTCAGTATTTTTTCTCTTTTCGCTCTCTATACGTGACCCAAATTGAAAAACTTTAATAATAATCAAAATAGCTAGGGTAACAGATTTATGTCTTGAACTTTTGTAAAACCATTTGGTAGAAAACAGTAATATAGAGTAGCAAAAAAATATTTCAGAATCTATTTAGAAATCATACAGTAGCAAAAAAAAAAAATTAACCTTATGGGTTTTTTTTCATGTTGCTTTTATATATAGATTTTGAATATTCAATAGTAACTTAAAATCTCAGAACTCACACAATGA